TGTATTTGGGAAAAATCATTCACTAAACCTCAACTAAATCTTGTAATGAATAATGTGGAAATTGAGCATGTTGAGGAGACTAAACTGCTTGAAGTAACCCTGGATTGTTTTTTATTTGTTATTTATTTTTATTTAACCTTTATTTAACCAGGTAAGCCAGTTGAGAACAAGTTCTCATTTACAACTGCAACCTGGCCAAGATAAAGCAAAGCAGTGCGATAAAAACAACAAGAACACAGAGTTACACATGGGATAAAACAAAACATACAGTCAATAACACAATAGAACATCTATATACAGTGTGCGCAAATGTAGTAAGTTATGGAGGTAAGGCAATAAATAGGCCATAGTGCAAAATAATTACAATTTAGTATTAACACTGGAGTGATAGATGTGCAGAAGAAGATGTGCAAATTGTAAACGGTCATGGTCTAAACATATACAAGAGTAGCTAAAATGGGGAGAGGTCTGTCCATAATAAAGCGCTGCTCTGCTTTATTAACATCGATATCAAGGCAGGTCCTACAGGCCCTAGTTTTGTCGCAACTAGACTACTGTCCAGTCGTGTGGTCAGGTGTCATAAAAAGGGACTTAGGAAAATTAATATTGGACCAGAATAAGGGCAGCACGGCTGGCTCTTAAATGTACACGGAGAACTAACAATAATATGCATGTCAATCTCTCCTGGCCCAAAGTAAGAAGAGAGATTGACATGTTGAATGGACCGAGCTGTCTGTTTAAACTACTAGCACACAGCTCAGACACCCATCCATACCACAAGACATGCCAACAGAGGTCTCTTCACAGTCCCCAAGTCCAGAACAGACTATGAGAGGCGCACAGTACTACATTGAGCCATGACTACATTAAACTCTATTCCACATCAAGTAACTCATGCAAGCAGTAAAATCGGATTTTAAAAAACAGATATAAATACACCTTATGGAACAGCGGGGACTGTGAATAGAGACACACACAGGCACACGCATACACACATATGATAACATACGCACTATACACACATCTACACATGGATTTTGTGTTGTAGATATGTAATAGTAGAGTAGTGGCCAGAGGGCACACACTTGGTAAATTCACTCTGGCTATCTACTCCGATTTCAGAGCACACTCGTCTGAGTGTGCCAGAGCGCAGAATAACTGACGCATTTACGAACGCTCAACACCAGTTGAATATGGCCAGTGTCAGTAAACGTCGGCAAAAAAGCGTTATTAAATTGTTGCCAACAGCCGAGTTACAGTCACCAACGCTCTGGATAAAATAAAAACAGCCATCCAGCTCAGCTAGGGCGAATATAATGGTCAGAGTGAAGTGTTCTCTCATTTGTTTCTGGAAATTGCTAGCAAGCTAGCCAACGTTAGCCAGTTAGCTTTGGTGCATGACTGCCGTTGTGAGGTCAGAACCCTCCGGTCAACCCTACTCCTCTGCCAGAGCGTTCAGTGTGCGCTTTGAACGCTCCGAGCGCGAAACGCTCTGAATTTACGAACGGACAATCTGACAACGCTCTGAATTTACGAACGCCAAGAGTACACTCTGAGCCTATTCTGGCACTCCGGATTGAATTCACGAACACAGGTATTCAGAGCGTTGTCAGATTGTCCGTTCGTAAATTCAGAGCGTTTCGCTCTCGGAGCGTCGCGTGCGCGAGCGTTGCAAAATAAACGTACACGAACATGTTATTCAATCATTGCATCCACACTGCTCGCTTACGTCAATGAGCGTCTGCGTGGCCAGGCGCTAAAAATAACTCGGTTCTATTTGTGACGCTCAACGCGCTGCAAGTCCTGCCTCTCCCATCTCCTCATTGGTTTTTAGGAGCATCTACCCACGTGGGTGATTGCAAGATGAACTGAGGTCTACGCTCCAGTCCAGTTGGTTGTGGTAATGCGCCATAAAGTTTGTTGCCAACCGCCATATAAAGTCTAAAGAAGAAGAAGCCTAGAACACTAGAAAACAAACTTTTTACCATTTTATCTGTGTATTAATTGTCGGAGTAGAGGACCTTGTGCATTTCGTCTCCTGAGTGGCGCAGTGGTCTAAGGCACTGCATCGCAGTGCTAACTGTGCCACTAGAGATCCTGGTTCGAATCCAGGCTCTGTCGCAGCCGGCCGCGACCGGGAGACTCATGGGCGGCGCACAATTGGCCCAGCGTCGTCCAGGGTAGGGGAGGGAATGGCCGGCAGGGATGTAGCTCAGTTGATAGAGCATGGCGTTTGCAACGCCAGGGTTGTGGGTTCGATTCCCACGGGGGGCCAGTATAATATATATATATATATATGTATTCACTAACTGTAAGTCGCTCTGGATAAGAGCGTCTGCTAAATGACAAAAAAAACACAAAAACAAACTAACAACCCAATGTTTATATCCCAAGACAAATTAGCTAGCAACAGCTAGCTACATTGCCATACATGTTTAATGCTTTTCGACCTGTCCCGAAATTAATATAGTTGGTTCAGAGTTCGTTTTGATATTTCAACCTGCGTGTCCTGATTGCGTCTGGTGTGGGTGGACAAAATCAACATGCGTGTGTGATCTGGTCAGCATGTAACTGTGCTGCTCGCAACAATTTAATTACCCTTTTTATTTTTATTTTTTATTTTATTTTTTTGCTGACACCGGCTATATTCAACAGGTGTTGAGCGTTCATAAATTCATCAGTTATTCTGCGCTCTGGCACACTCAGACAAGAGTGCTCTGAAATCGGAGTAGATAACCAGAGTGAATTTATGAACGCACCCTTAATGTGTTGTGAAATGTAATGTAATGTTTTTAATTGGATATAACTGCCTTAATTCTGCTGGACCCCAGGAAGAGTTAGTCAACCTTGTTGCTTTATTAGGCACTTGCTATAGTCTTTTTTTTTTTTTTGTATCTCTTGAGATAGGAAAATGTGTTTTTTATTAAGTGGAACATGTGATCTTTATGATCGAATGTTATAATTAGGTGAAATACAATTTTAAAAAATTCACCAAGTTACACTACTCAAAAGACACCCAATTGGTGGAACGGCCCAACATTGTTTCTCTAAAAATGGGTAACACTGTAGCGACTAACTTATTTTATGTACTATTTGAGCTCGTGGTGAAAGAACTGTTGGCACTTGATTGGCTACATCGCTCAGTTTGTTCTAGACTGTTCTGCGGAAATCTTCATATTCCTCAGAAATCACCAGCCCGGACAGCTTCCACGAGGATACGGTAGAGGCAGAGCCCTTCTGTACTGTTCAGGGTTAAGCGACATTTTCTGGCTGATTTTTGTAATCTTTAACAAGGTAAGCATTTTGAAATGGAGGTTGTTGAATATCACCATTACAATAGTTGGAAATGATGAACAGTAAATTAGGCTAACAAGCTTGAAGCAATACTGAAACAGCAAGCATAGGTGGCTATTAGGCATAATTTGGGTTTACAGGAAACGTTACCAACGGTTGGGTTTCATATTCAACGTCTCCTGTAAACCCAGATTCTGATTTAAAAGTGGTTACATCATTTTTTTAATGCAACAATAGTTTCAACGATTGCATCATCGGATGTCAGTTTCAGTTTGCTTGCTAGCAGTTTAAAAGGACCGTCTCTTGTTAGGCTAACTGTGTCACACAGTGTGTGAAGAAGGCATGGGCTTGCCTTCCAACATTAACTTATTCAGTTGAACCATTGGCTTGCTCGATCGATGTAGCCTAATGTACTGGTAAAATATGTTCGAGTTTAAATAATTGCGTGTGAAACTTATTTTAATGGCAACCCTACCTATTCTAGCCTATGTTGGCTGGTGCTGGATGTTGATGAAGCTGAACGGAATGTTCCAGCAATTTCCCAACCCACCCGCGGCGGAACTGGGGCGCGCCCTCAGTGACACAAACTCCCGGCAACATTTTTGTTTTATATTTGAATAGGTGATAGTGAGGAATAGATTCCAGGATTTGTTGTATCATGTTCATTTGGTTAAAGTGTTAATAAGCATGGAGTTGCTTTAGCTATTCAGTTAAAACAGGCGGACATAAAAATATATAACTGAATCCACTTGCACTTAACCGGCCCCCCTCTTTCTAGCTCGGACTCTGCTGATAGCTACTTTATTGAGGAATACTTTCTATGCCTGTGATATGTGGTTGTCCCACCTAGCTATCTTAAGATGAATGCACTAACTGTAAGTCGCTCTTGATAAGTGTCTGCTAAATGACTAAAATGTAAATGCTGTCATAAAGCACGTCTTCTTTACACCGCCCACTCCCACTCCCAGCCTGTAACTAGGGAAACACTATTTTCACGCCGCTTCGATACCTAAATTACTTTTTCGTAGCAGGTTAGAATAATTAACATAGCAGGTTAGGAGACTGAGGTTAAGGTTAGCGAAAATGCTCTCCTAACCTGCTACTAAAATAACTGTCTGTATCAAGACAAAGTGCTGTTAAGTGTCCAGTTGAAAGACAGCTGTTGTGCTGAAGGTCAAGACAAGGATGAGTATTTTGAACACAAACTCATTAGTGGAAACCAAGGCTGTTCTCAGGGCAGACCTGTTTGTAGCTAGATATGTGGGGTTGAGACTATTTTAGCATTTAGCTAACCCTTTTCCTAACCTTAATCTAATTATCCTAACATGCCACATTCATTCTCCTAACCTGCTGCTTAAGTTTTCATAAACCTGCTACGAAAAGTCACTTCTGCTAGTCAAAACCAGCAGACCTGCCTTGAGAGCAGTGTCCACTAATGCGATACTCCCTTTTGAACAGGTGGTCCAGGGGTCTTTCAATGACACAATTAGCTACTATTGTATGAACTTTTCTGAAAATAGCATAATGTGTCACAGGCCTATACTAAAATAGACCCAACTTGACCAGTTGTACAGAGTTGTCCCCTAGAGTCTACCCTCAGGATCACTCACCTGGGTCAATGAGTTCATACCTAGATCTCTTAAAAATGTGTACTTTGCCACAACACGGCTTGTTTTAATGTTATCGCCTCTTCATTTTCAGACACAATGTCAAAGGGACCAGCAGTTGGCATTGACCTGGGCACCACCTACTCCTGTGTGGGTGTGTTCCAGCATGGGAAAGTGGAGATCATCGCCAACGACCAGGGCAATAGGACCACACCCAGCTACGTCGCCTTCACAGACACAGAAAGGCTGATTGGGGACGCCGCCAAGAACCAAGTGGCCATGAACCCCACAAACACTGTGTTTGGTAAGAATTGAACTTAGAGAAATTGATCAAATACCATGTACGGTATATAAGATGTACTTTACATGGAGAGTCTGTGGCATTAACTGATGTTTACACCCTTATCTTTTCCCAGATGCAAAGCGGCTGATAGGGCGGAAGTTTGACGACAGTGTCGTCCAGGCAGACATGAAACACTGGCCGTTTACAGTGATCAACGACTCGACACGGCCCAAGGTCCAAGTGGAGTACAAGGGAGAGACAAAGGCCTTCTACCCAGAGGAGATCTCCTCCATGGTGCTGGTCAAGATGAAGGAGATCGCAGAGGCCTACCTGGGCAAGGTGAGCATGTGCACAACAGTCCTATCACTCTGTCTTTATAGCAACGCATGTTATGTTCTTTTGGGTGTTACCGAATGGTTTAACAAAATATAAATGTGTTTTTCTCACACTGTAGAGGTGACTTTCAAAAATTAAGACTGTCTTGTCTGTTCACTTAGTTGTCACTTTAAGGGAAGCATTACTAATTAATGTATTCTGTAAATATTTCCTCCTGCAGACTATAACCAATGCAGTGGTCACTGTGCCAGCTTACTTCAACGACTCTCAGCGCCAGGCCACCAAAGACGCAGGGACTATCTCAGGACTCAACGTACTCCGCATCATCAATGAGCCAACCGCTGCTGCTATCGCCTATGGCCTGGACAAGAAGGTTAATTTATTTATATATATATATCAACACTAACAACTGTACTTAGAACTCAGGACTATAATGCATACCTGAGGCCCATTGACCATGTGATTTGAGAGACAAGCTTCACAAAAAAATCATATTTAACTCACTTAAAATAAAACATGTTTTTAGGTGGGAATGGAGAGAAACGTCCTAATCTTCGACCTGGGCGGCGGTACGTTTGATGTGTCCATCCTGACCATCGAAGACGGGATCTTTGAGGTGAAGTCCACGGCCGGAGACACCCATCTTGGAGGAGAGGACTTCGACAACCGCATGGTCAACCACTTCATCTCAGAGTTCAAGCGCAAATACAAGAAGGACATCAGCGACAACAAGAGGGCCGTGCGTCGTCTGCGCACTGCCTGTGAGCGTGCCAAGCGCACCCTGTCCTCCAGCACCCAGGCCAGTATCGAGATCGACTCTCTGTATGAGGGCGTTGACTTCTACACCTCCATCACCAGGGCTCGCTTTGAGGAGCTGAACGCTGACCTGTTCAGAGGCACCCTGGACCCTGTGGAGAAGTCTCTGAGGGATGCCAAGATGGACAAGGCCCAGGTCCACGACATTGTCCTGGTGGGAGGCTCCACGCGCATCCCCAAGATCCAGAAGTTGCTGCAGGACTTATTCAACGGGAAGGAGCTCAACAAGAGCATCAACCCTGATGAGGCTGTCGCCTATGGTGCAGGTGAGGTGTTTTTTTTATGGTAGCTCCCTCTTCTATCTAAAGCTTTGCCCAGTAAACCCTCTGGTCAGCTGTCTTTTCCTGTTCTACCCTCTCTAACCTTCATCCAGAGAAGCCCTAATATGGATAAGGACATTGTAAATGCTTTGATGGTTTGTTCTAAGAATGAGTGACAACCCCTGTGTCTGTTGACAGCTGTCCAGGCGGCCATCTTGTCCGGAGACAAGTCTGAGAATGTGCAGGACCTGCTGCTGCTGGACGTCACGCCACTGTCCCTGGGTATTGAGACGGCCGGAGGGGTCATGACCGTGCTCATCAAGAGGAACACCACCATCCCCACCAAGCAGACGCAGACCTTCACCACATACTCAGACAACCAGCCTGGGGTGCTAATTCAGGTGAGGGGGACGTACTATGACTCATTCCTAGGTACCTCAATGGATTATATGTCCATCAGTGTCAAAATGTTAGCGTATACTCTGGTTGATATTTAACTTGAAACTGGATCTGAATCAATATTGACCCACACACATTTATTTGTTAGTGTTTATATTAAAACTTGAGATGATACTTTGAATGAATGCACATGAGTGTTGACCTGAGTGTGTGTCTGTTTCCTGTCCTCAGGTGTATGAGGGGGAAAGAGCCATGACCAAAGACAACAACCTACTGGGGAAGTTTGAGCTGTGTGGGATCCCACCAGCCCCCCGGGGTGTGCCTCAGATAGAGGTCACCTTTGACATCGACGCCAACGGCATCATGAATGTGTCCGCCTCTGACAAGAGCACCGGCAAGGAGAATAAGATCACCATCACCAATGACAAAGGTACACTTAGTAGTAGTTACAGTTAAAGGGGAAATCTGCTTTTCAAACAATAACAAAGCCACTGTTTTGGGGGAAAAGTTGAGGGATGGGGCTGTAGAAATGTAAGCACTCTCAAATGTATAGACCTAGCTATGGATGCAAGGATTGACCATCCATGATGTCAAAATTATAGTTTTAACCATATTTTGAGGCTATACAGTGTTTGTTTACAATTACATTGTTTACAAACAAAGGAGTTAAACAAGCTTGTATTTTTGGTTCCGGTGGGGTAATACTGTTCAACTAAGCTCATGAGGCATTTATAAGTTGTATATTCTTCAAGAATCAATTTGGCGGGGGGTGGGGGGGTGTACAGTTGAAGTTGGAAGTTTACATACACATAGGTTGGAGTCATTAACTTGTTTTTCAACTACTCCACAAATTTATTTTTAACAAACTATAGTTTTGGCAAGTCGGTTAGGACATCTACTTTGTGCATGACACAAGTAATTTTCCCAACAATTATTTACAGACAGATTATTTCACTTATAATTCACTGTATCACAATTCCAGTGGGTCAGAAGTTTACATACACTAAGTTGACTGTGCCTTTAAACAGCTTGGAAAATTCCAGAAAATGATGTCATGGCTTTAGAAGCTTCTGATTGACATAATTTGAGTCAATTGGAGGTGTACCTGCGGATGTATTTCAAGGCCTACCTTCAGTGCCTCTTCGCTTGACATCATGGGAAAATCAAACGAAATCAGCCACGACCTCAGAAAAAAAATTGTAGACCACAAGTCTGGTTCATCCTTGGGAGCAATTTCCAAATGCCTGAAGGTACCACGTTCATCTGTACAAACAATAGTACGCAAGTATAAACACCATGGGACCACGTAGCCGTCATACCGCTCAGGAAGGAGACGCGTTCTGTCTCCTAGAGATGAACGTACGTTGGTGCGAAAAGTTCAAATCAATCCCAGAACAACAGCAAAGGACCTTGTGAAGATGCTGGAGGAAACAGGTACAAAAGTATCTATATCCACAGTAAAACCAGTCCTATAGCTACATAATCTGAAAGGCCGCTCAGCAAGGAAGAAGCCACTGCTCCAAAACCGCCATTAAAAGCCAGACTACGGTTTGCAACTGCACATGGGGACAAAGATTGTACTTTTTGGAGAAATGTCCTCTGGTCTGATGAAACAAAAATAGAACTGTTTGGCCATAATGACCTTAGTTTTGTTTGGAGGAAAAAGGGGTTGCTTGCAAGCCAAAGAACACCATCCCAACTGTGAAGCACGGGGGTGGCAGCATCATGCTGTGGGGGTGCTTTGCTGCAGGAGGGACTGGTGCACTTCACAAAATAGATGGCATCATGAGGAAGGAAAATTATGTGGATATCTTGAAGCAACATCTCAAGACATCAGTCAGGAAGTTAAAGCTTGGTCGCAAATGGGTCTTCCAAATGGACAATGACCCCAAGCATACTTCCAAAGTTGTGGCAAAATGGCTTAAGGACAACAAAGTCAAGGTATTGGAGTGGCCATCACAAAGCCCTGACCTCAATTATACTGAACATTTGTGTGCAGAACTGAAAAAGCGTGCGTGAGCAAGGAGGCCTACAAACCTGACTCAGTTACACCAGCTCTGTCAGGAGGAATGGGCCAAAATTCGCCTAACTTATTGTGGGAGCTTGTGGAAGGCTACCCGAAACGTTTGACCCAAGTTAAACAATTTTAAAGGCAATGCTACCAAATACTAATTGAGTGTATGTAAACTGCTGACCCATTGGGAATGTGATGAAAGAAATAAAAGCTGAAATAAATCATTCTCTCTACTATTATTCTGACATTTCACATTCTTAAAATAAAGTGGTGATCCTAACTGACCTAAGACAGGGAGTTTTTACTAGGATTAAATGTCAGGAATTGTGAAAAACTGAGTTTAAATGTATTTGGCTAAGGTGTATGTAAACTTCCGACTTCAACTGTATAGATGTATGTCCAAACAGATTAACCAATCAGATTGCCTTGTAAATCTATAGTCTGGGATCTGGGAATCTGTTCATGGTCAATTCAATTATTGATATTTACCCATTGATTCTTGAACATCTGAATCCCAGAATGTATCTTTATACACTATGCCATTGTAAAGTATGCACACCATTTTAAATAGGGATGTCTTCTCCAACAATTGCTTTAACAAAGCCTCCTTCTCATTGTCTGTCCCTCTCTCCACAGGTCGTCTGAGTAAGGAGGACATAGAGCGCATGGTCCAGGAGGCTGAGCAGTACAAAGCTGCGGACGACGTCCAGAGGGACAAGGTGGCGTCCAAAAACGGCCTGGAGTCGTACGCCTTTAACATGAAGTCCACCGTGGAGGATGAGAAGCTCAAGGGCAAGCTCAGCGACGAGGACAAACAGAAGATCCTGGACAAGTGCAATGAGGTCATCAACTGGCTGGACAAGAACCAGGTACAGTACGGGCTCAGGGTCTTTCAACCAGAATAGAGTGGGTTAATGTTCAAATCTAAAGTCAAGTATAGCACTGAGTCCCTCACTTCATTGTAATTTGATTAAACAAATATCTGGTGGTTCAACAAGGAGGTTGGAGCACTAATGTTGTCTATCTTTCTCTCTTCCTCTCTATCTCTTCCTTTCTCCTCGATCTCTCCTTGTAGTCTGCAGAGAAGGAGGAGTTTGAGCACCACCAGAAGGAGCTGGAGAAGCTGTGTAACCCAATCATCACCAAACTGTACCAGGGTGCAGGGGGGATGCCCGGGGGGATGCCTGGGGGGATGCCAGGGCCTGGTGGTGCCACACCCGGAGGAGGCGGATCCTCTGGACCAACCATTGAGGAAGTCGACTAAAACATACAGAGTATTCCTTTACTCCTGATTGGATATGTCTAAATAGTGGTCCACATTCTATAGCTTGGAATGGGCTGAACCTTTTATTTTCACAATCTGCATTGACTACTTTTGTTTGTTTTTGGTCATTAATCTTTTTATGCTGAAAGCAACCATGGATTGAATCTTTTTAATGGGCACTGTTCTACCTATTGGTAAATGTTTTCAGTTTAACCAGTGAATGTTTACTATACAGAGCATGTTTTTCACAAGTGGAATTCTGTGACTGCAAAATGTTTTTGCACTGCACTGTTGGCTTAAGATAACTCTTTAAAAAAATAAAGAATCTCTTGAAATCACATTCTTCCAGATCCTTCTTTAATTTTGACACCTTTGACAGTCTTGATGACCATCAGGGTTAATAATTTAGATGTTAAAGCTGCGCTATGCAGAAATCACTCGCCATTTCCTGGTTGCTAAAATTATAGTAGTTTGCCTAATTTCAGTTTGTGAAGCACGTATAGTGTAGAGAATCATTGTACCATCTAAACCGCTGAAATATATTTCCATAACCAAAAATATCCTCTACAGGATCGGTGTCCCTATACCGGGACAGTTGCTGCTTAATATGCGATATGTGTCTAGAATGGCGTTGTAAACAACAGCCAACTTTCCGGGACATAGACATGTCTTATATGGGTAGAAAGCTTACATTCTTGTTAATCGAACTGCAGTGTCCAATTTACAGTAGCTATTACAGCTAAAAAATACCATGCTATTGTTTGAGGATCATGCACAACAACAAAACACTTGTCACGGCAACTGGTTTGATACATTCACCTCTGAAGGTAAATAATGTACTTACATTCAGTAATCCTGAGGGTCCCAGAGATCAAATGTAGCATGGTTTTGTTTGATAAAATCCATTTTTATATTCAAATGTAGGAACTGGGTTCTACAGTTTGTGAACATCATTTTTTTATAACCATAGCAATTTTGTAGGTTCTCTAGTTATGTACTTGAAAATGTATAAATTCAGAACATTTGGGAAAACTCCTGGCAGACTTAATACAAAATATTGTGTAGTGATGTAATCCTTCACTGGATCAGTCTGAAACTTTGCACACACAATGCTGCCAGATTGTGGACAACATCTAAATGACGTCTAGATTCCTACATCACTGTCTGGCCTTTCTCTTGCATTTCAAAGCTGATGCAACAAAACAAAAAATAGAAAACGAATGTGTTTTTGTTTGTATTATCTTTTACCAGATCTAATGTGTTATATCCAACATTAATTTCACATTTCCACAAACTTCAAAGTGTTTCCTTTCAAATGATATCAAGAATATGCATATCCTTGCTTCAGGTCCTGAGCTACAGGCAGTTAGATTTGGGTATGTCATTTTAGGCGAAAATTGAAATCAAAAGTCTGATCCTTAATAAATTCACCACCTACTCTACTGTAACTCCCAGTATAATTCTGCATCATTTTGTCTAATGACTCAACTAGCCTATTCATTATTGTGTGTAAACCATGTACAGTCTGTGTCTCTGTAACATTCCCTCCCCTTGATTTTCCACAGATCGGGTGTGAGTCAACGGCAGCTTCGTCAGTGCTCTGAGTATGTGGCACTACAGTGTAAGTGGTCTGTCTTTGTGTCTACCTTGAGCACATGGTTGCCAGAAGTACAGAGTGCACTTCTACAGGATATGAAGCAATTGTGTTGTGCTTATAATAGACTGGTGTTTTGCTGTGAAACATGACACTGACTACACTCAGAAACTAATTGTCCCAGAGAATGGAATAAATCTGAAGACCAGAATCTTTGTGGGGGTGAAAGCCACCAATCTAACAGAGATAGGACTACAGTACGCAGCTGAAATCTAACTGTGTGAAAGCCTTTTGTAAAGTACCATACTGCAAAACGTACAATGTATCACAAATAAAAACAAATATCTTTAAGAAAAAAAGTGCTGTAGCTATACTGCATTCTACAATCTGTCCCTCTCTTCCTCTAAAGGTTCTGCTTGACCGATGTTACGCAACAACAAATCCCGTTCCCAACAACAGCTCCTACTATGATCTCTTTGTTGGGTGAGTCAGTATTATTCACCCAGTTTCATTTCTGTAGATTTATGATAAATCTGTAACTGAAACGGAAGTAGTTTTGGTTTCCGGTCACGCCTAATTCGTGTATGTGTATGACTCATATCTCTTGTCTCATCGAATGTGTACACGTGATGGACAAACCAGGATCGAGTTGAACGGAGCGTCTCAGCATGCACACTTCTCCTTTGAGGCCTTCCGTTTCATTGAACACAAGAACATGACCGTCGACACTTTCTACCTGCAATGTCACCCGACTCTGTGAGGTGTCCTCCTGCTCGTCCTTAATGCCTGTAAGTATCAACAATTAGAAAGTAACACACAGGTCACTGCCTTCAGAGAAACAAAACGAAACATTTTGCGACAGTACATTGTAGCGGTCACGGTCACATTCATCATATTGCCCTTTGACTCTCTAGACATCTGGGTTGCCTACAACAACGTTCTAATGTTCTGGGTTAACACCTGTTGCCTAGAGTCTCCCAGACAATATTGCCCTCTGCTCTGAAGAACCCTAATTTCAGAGACAACCCTATGATATTCTAAGCTTATCCAACTGAATAGACAAATGTTTCAAACCGATAGGAAATGAAAACTGACTTCCTGTCTGCCTGTTTGATCCCAGAACTGTTCAGGTTTCTCCAGGAGAAAGAGAGGTCAACGGTGCGGCCATACTGGACCAGTGGTGTGATATGATATCAGACATTAATGATATATCAGACATTAATTAATGACAGTTGATGAGAGTGAAAATGATTAGTCACCTCATTGCTCATACAGTATGAGTAATTAAATGGATCGTAATGTAAGGCTTCATTCTTGACCATCTTATTCTGTTTCCCTCTGCTACAGGTCTTCCAACAGCTTCACAATGTAAGACATTCTTCTAAGTTTCCCTTGATAATCACAGTCATCTGTCTCTCCATGGCCCTGTTCATTGGTCTGTTCCTGAGGAGAAGGTTATCCATTCTCCAATGAGATGGGGTCTAGGACTAGGGACACCGTCTCTCCTGACATGGCTGAAGACTGGGACCAGTCTCCTAGCTAACTTTACATCCCCAGAGCACGTAGACAGCTGTTGTGAAGACATGATACAGTGGCAGGTTATGAGGGAAATTAGTAAAGGATGTTTAGTTCTCAGTAACATGAGTAAAGGATTGTTGGTTCTCAGTTCATGAGTAAAGGATGGTTAGTTCTCAGTAACATGAGTAAAGGATAGTTAGTTCTCAGTTCATGGATTACAATGTTATACATGTTAGTGAGAAAGTATTAAGCAACATTTCATGCATAATGTTACAGAAACATAGCATTTTATAATTGTAATAAAGTGGCAGCAGGGGACTAGAGGTAAACATCTACACACCTAAATGTAAAGTTCCTAAATATGGCATGTACAGATTTTTGTAAGAATCTTTTGTATGATAGCTGACAACTAGTCAGAGTAAATGTATGCTAGCTAAAGGCCAGAGCAAATGTTGTATGCACTTGCTTGACAGATTCATTTGAAAGTATTTTATTAATATTTTATTGTGTGTGAAATAATTGTCTATCCTCCATGTCATTTTGAGATGTTTGCTCTTGGGCCAACAAAACTGGCAACACTAGTCTAGGCCTTTACCTAAGAATAGTTGTACTAGTTTCATTCTCCTATCTTGTATTTTGTGACAATGGGTGCTGTATTACTGGGAAAGCAGCCATGGACTGTCAGTGGGGAGAGTATCACGGAAGTCTTGATTGGTTGGTTATGCAGATGTCTCATACAAATGTTCAAGTGCAGCTTCAGCTTGGTTGTAGAGAATGTTCTCCCATTGTGCAACAAGACATAAGAACAGCATGTTGAAAAGCTTTCACAGGATCTACACAGGTAATTATTCAGACTATTTGTCTTATTTAATCAATTTCACCTGGCACCTATCTTTTGGTTTCTGTATATTCAGTAGCCTAAATACAAAATTAGTTCAGTCAAGGAACACGTAAAAAGTCTAAAGAAAACCTAAACCAGCAGCATAACAAAGTACAGTTTTGGTAACAGATTTAAGTACTAGTAGTCTAGCTAGTAGTCCACCACCCTTCAAACCCACAAGACAAATAGGACCAGATGGACTTTTTGGGCAAAATAAAAAAAGGCAAGGTCATCAAAACGGTATCCAAAGAGAGTTAATATATTATCCCATAGGTGACAAACGTAAAGCAATTCAAAATGTAGCAGGGGATGGTATACACGTATGTACGAAGATTGTACTATACAATATTGCACTGTGGGAAACTTCTAGATGAGGACATGCATATAGCTCTGCGTCTCTGCCGCTAACAGTTTCATACTTATATTTACCCCATGCCATTTTTTTTCATTTAACAGACGCTCTTATCCAGAGCAATTTACAGTTAGTGAGTGCATACATTTTTCATACTGGCTCCCCGTGGGAAACGAACCCACAACCCTGGTGTTGCACACGCCATGTTCTACCAATTGAGCTACACGGGACCTACTCCTGGGCTGCGTCCCAAATGGCACCCTATTCCGTTTATAGTGCAGTACTTTTGACTAGGGCTTTATCAACCGTTTGATAAAGAATTAAAATCAGTCATTAGGTTCCCAAACCAACCATTTCCTGACCATATATGGTAAAATAAGTGCCTGCTGTTTGTGTATCTGTCCACCAGGTGGGGCTGCTGATCCAGAGCGTTTAGTGCTTTCTGGCCAAAGTGATCTGGCACACCACGTACAAAGTCAGTGATGTTTGAAAAGATGGGTACAGCGTAGACTGTACATTACCAACACACACAGACAGAACATGGATCTACTAAAACTCTTCACATCTTCTGGACTAACTATCAATAATCAAAACGTTGAATACTCATCATTGCAGATTTTTTAATTGTGGTTAATAATGTTAGGATGCACATTAATGTCATGGAACATTCTGTCATATCAAATATAAATAATGGAGTGAGTAAACTTGTTGTAATTGAGGATTAAACACAGAAAATAAGTGTGTTTTGGCTGATAATAATATTTGGGTTCTATGATTATCATTAATATAACAAGAAATTAATTAAAGATACATTTGATCATCAAGTGCTTCTTCATTCCTATATATTTCAATATAACATGTATTTGATTATTCTAGATTACACATCACATGTACAGTATATGACATAAAAAGCAACAAAGTTATTTGAACTGTGGCAGGTTGAAGACTCTCTCAGAGTCGTTCTCATTTCAGCACAGTCTTTGCTGTGGTCAGCATTCTCAGTGGCAGCACATCCTCCACCCATTCGTTTGGAGAGGTCATCATTCGTTCCCATAGAGCTACCTCGTCAGCATTCGAGTCCATCCAATTCACCACCGCCCCATAACTTCTGCCTATATGGAGAGATGGAGAGAACCTAGGCTTAGCCAATGAAGTCAATGGAATAAAATGAATGTGTTTGTATGGAGAAATCTAGAATATAATATAAAATAATAGAATAGTCCATTAGTACCTGTGCCAGGCCCCAGTCTTAGACCGCCCAGGAGGTTACTGGCCAGCTTGTCACGGTCCCACACGGTCAGCTCCACGCAGGCCTCCTTCAGGTCTTCCTGTCTGAAGCCGTCGTACACCATGGTGTGGTTAAACACCGGCTCCACCGTCCTCCTCAGCACCCGCGTCTTCTGACGACTCTTTCTGCTCGTGTCTGGGAGCACGAAGCTACGGAGGAGATAGTCTCACAAGTCTCACAAGGCAATTGTTTCAGAAATATGACATATACCTACCTATAACTATCCTGAGCAAAGCAAATTTGAAAGGCTGGAAATTGAGGCTAAGAAGGGGATATGGCTTTATGATAGGGCTCCACATCTTCTGTTCTAAGAAGGGGATATGGCTTTATGATAGGGCTCCACATCTTCTGTTCTAAGAAGGGGATATGGCTTTATGATAGGGCTCCACATCTTCTGTTCTCCCCAGATACTGTAGTTCTCCTTGATCATATTTAGCAATTCATACATTTCAAATGTTGATATCATTTATGGCATGTGTCGTACGTACCACTTGACATATGGGTCGATGGTGACCCCTCTGATGAGGGGAAGGTTCTTGCAGTCTTTCACCCAAATGTGAACCTCACCTTTGTTAGAGAGGGGGTCCTTGCCTAGGGGTCAGAATCAAGCATGATTCAGTGAACTTGTGTGCCCTGTATCTTTCTATTGCACAAAAGTCATATTTTAATGTATGGTAACTAGTTAACGAAAGCAACACATTTTCTTGATAAAATATACCTTTTCAATATAATACATTCCTTATAGACACTGGTGACAGTTAAAGACATGTGAGGCGTGCAGACTCTTACTGTGGGAGACTTGAGGCAGGAAGCGTATGGCCAGTTTCATCTCCCCTCTGTCATCTGAGGGCTGCAGACTGGAGGTGGGCTGAGGAGACCAGGGGGAGACAGTCAGCACAGAGAGTACAGTGAGCACACCCCAATTTACTATATAGCACCACCACCTCACTGGATACACTCCAAACCACACTCACACCTCCACAACCTACTGTGTATAGCAGCACACACACGTCATGTCACACAATACTAACACGCACAGCCATTGAAATAATTAGCAAAAGGATTTCAGTCTTGGATTAATGTTTTAGTACAGTACTGAATGAGCCCAGTACACAGACAAAGCAGGTGTGTTGTTGTCTTACCCTGGATTTCAGCGCTAAGTAGTTCATCTGGGTGTGGTCAAAGTCCCATTTGGACAGGTCCACATCCACCTCGCCCAGAAAACTGTTCCTGCCAAAGGTGTCGTGGTGCCAGACGGAGAGAATGAGGGTCTGAGTTCGGAGGTACTCTATACGAAGCCGATACTGATGAAGGAACAGGAGAGAGAGTTTTTGTTAAAAGCACTTTATGTCAGACCTGATGTACATGTAATTATACATTTCTCTATTCAACTTAAATCATATAGAGTTTTTAGAAACTCTCTTACTCTGAGGAGCTCGTTGAAAATGGGGTTGACAGTCTTCTTCTTCACAGAAGTTTTCCTCTTCCCTAGATTGGCTTTGTCAGGCACCAGGTAACTTTTAACATACCTACGACAAGAAACACAAGAATCATACACACAAAGTACCATGTATTTCAGCAGTGTCCAATCAATTATGGAGTAGTAAATAAGAAAGCAAGGCTATATATTAGGAATTCCCAATATTCAGGGACCATAAGGAGTTCTATCAGGGGCCTAGTATAATAGTTGGTACCGTACTCACGGGTCAGAGCGGCCCCTCTTGGGGTCGACGGCGGCCAGGTCTCGGCACTGAGCCACAAAGATATGGAACTCCCTGAGCTTCTGGACGTAGTTGATGGAGAACTGGATGTTCCCCTGCACCTCCACACCTCCATAGTCCCCACTGTACATGGTCAGCACACTGCCACTCAGCTAACACACACAGAGGTAAAACCTTTTAAACAGTTTACATAAAACCATAGCCTTTCAGGCAGTTCTCATTAAAATCATGATGTGAAAAACTATAAAATGTGTGGTTAATGGGACAATTAAGAGATTTAATTAGACTGTTAATATTGTATAATCATGATAGTTGCCAATAGAAAGTTCAGCTTGGTTAGGCAGAAAATGTGCGTGCTGTGAACATACAGAGGACACAGATGCCATGCCAGAGGAGCTGCTGAGGTTAGTCATAGATCTGCCCGTCTTCTGCCTGCCTCCATGGTAACTGTCCTCAGAGTTAGTGTCTCTGCCATTGCTCTAGAACACAGACAGCAGAGCTAGAATGCCCAGTGCACATACAGACATACAGACAATCAGTGTTCTTTGACCTAAAGCGCTCGCATGGAATAAAGCTGCGGTGGCTTTACCTCATTCTGCAGGAACGAGGGAACAGATTTGCTCATCTTCTTTAAATGTTCAGGGTCAGAGCAGAGGGATGAGGAGGGAGAGGGGAGGGTGGATGCTGAGGGAGGACAGAACAGAGAGAGAGATGAGGAGGGAGAGGGGAGGGTGGATGCTGAGGGAGGACAGAACAGAGAGAGAGATGAGAGGTTCATTTTTTAAGGTCCCATAATACTCTCATAACCTTATCATAGATCACTTACTATAGCTATTGAATTACCCAGCAATGCTAGCATTCTACAACATAGAATAAAAAGCCTGTATTCTACATTATATTTGGTATAAACTGTCTAACCCAATATCAATCCAAAGGCAAATCAAAGTTCTAAGAAAGGTACAAAACAAATCTTAACCATCACTGCTTCGCCTGAGGTCATGAAGAGGAGCTAGTCTTCTATCTTGTCCTGTAGGGAATGGTGGAAAACAAAGACAGCATTACACTTTCACCCCAACATGAATTAATACTGGTACCTGAGCCATCCTGACAGCACCACTATAATGCTTGTATAGTGGTTGAAGAGACAATGGACATTTCTCACGTGGTGGCATGGATGCTGTGATGTCCTCAAGACTTTTAGCCAGATTTCGTGGGCGGGCCTGAGCTCTCCTCAATGCCTTCTGTACAGGGTCCTGATCCGCATCATAATTTTCACCTAAAATATCAGACATTAGAGAAAGAGTTGCTCATACTGTACATGGAGATGCCTTCAACAAAGACCACACATTGACGTGTTAAAAAAAACATTACATGCGGCCTCTATACACTGATCATTTACAATGAGTGTACAAAACATTAAGAACACCTTCCTAATATTGAGTTGCATTGAGTTACACTGATTGAAGTGGATTTAACAAATTACATCAATAAGGGATCATAGCTTCCATCTGGATTCACCTGGTCAGTCTATATGTCATGGAAAGAGCAGGTGTTCATAATGTTTTGTACACTCAGTGTATATAGTCTGTTGTTTAGAAAGCTTTGCTAGAATTTTTAAGTTGGAAGAGAAAAATATATTTGAGGTTGTAGAAAATCATTTGTTTTACTGGCGATATTGTAAATATCATCACTCATAAACGTAAACTCAAGAATGTTCTAGGTCTATCCTGAACAGGAATGCTTAACTCAAACAAAACAAAACTTGGCCTACTTGGCTGTTGGCTCTATCAAAGCACCATGTGATGTCAATAAAGTTCCAAAAGCGTATCGTCCAACCCACAAATTAAACACAGGCAGCTCATTCCCTGCACACACTCTATTTACACTGACACAGATAGCCAGACAAGGACACTGCATCCTGGATGCTGCCTCATCTACAAAAACACCTACAAGAAGATGACTTCACAGGGAATCCAGATAAACAAATAACTATTGTATGTTTTCATGAAATGACACAGGTTACATAAAACTTGCACAAAGACAACAGGGTGTTATAGTATACAGTAGATCAGGACTGCCCAACCCTGTTCCTGGAGAGCTACCCTCCTGTAGGTTTTCACTCCAACCCCAGGTGTTACTAACCTGATTCATCTTATCAACCTGCTAATTATTAGAATCAGGAGTGCTAGATTAGTGTTGGAGCAAAAACCTACAGGACGGTAGCTCTCCAGGAACAGGGTTGGGCAGTCTTGCAGTAGATCATCAAAACTCACGGCTTGAACTGGTCCTGGAGTTGGACCAAGTTTCAGACGCGCTGCTCGATGCTCTCTCAGACTCACTGAATGATGACTCTCGTCCGGTGTCAGTGCTGCCCTGGTTTGACCAGAGGGCCAGGGGGCGTTGTGTTATCTTGCTGCTCCTTCTGCTGTAGCGCTCCTCTGAGCCCACTAGGGTGCTGGATCTGACAAGGCCACCTCTCTGGTCAAGTTCAGCCCCAGGCGGGCCTTCTGCCTCCCTCTGCTCCTTCACTGCCGGGGCCAGAGCAGTGTGGACGCTGGTCTTCTCTGTGATGCCCAGGTAATGGCGGTAGTCTCTGGGAACAAAGGCCCGAGCGCGAGGGGTCAGAGATTCAGACTCGTCTGATGATTTTGAGGACCTCCTTGGACCAGGAAGTGCTTGCTTGTCAGCACTCTGTCGTCTACCCTGTGTCCTCTTAGCTTGAACAGGACTAATATCCAGTGTCTTTTTAGGGTACAACAGAGAAGTTTGGTCCTGTTCTTCATTCATGTCTAATGTGAACATACTGGTGGCGCGCCGAAGGGAACTTGCACGTCCACTTCCACTTGAGTTTCCAAAACTGTATTTTCTAGCTTTGTGAGACCAAGATTCCTTTCCTGAGGTGCTTTGGGGCTTTAGGGCCTTTTCCTCTTTGGTGAAGTCCTGTTCTGAGCCCCTTGTTACACCAGGGACTCTTTGCTGCTCTGACTCTACGGTGATTTGAGGTGAGAAGTTAGCTTTAGTGTCAATCATAGCTCCTGATCCCACCCCAACTGATCTAGATTTAGACTGGTGCTCTTTAGTGTCAATCATAGCTCCTGAACCCACTCCAATCGATTTAGACCTTGACTGGTGCTCTCTGTCTTTGTTCCCCCTGACTAAAGATGGAGGGGGAGATGGAGAAGATGGAGAAGATGGTGAAGAAGGTGAAGATGTTTTCTTGAGCCGGCTCTCATCCAAAGGTGGTCTAGCACTGACCTTTTGTGACTGGCTGGGGGCAGATTTGCTATAGAAATCAGGGTCAACACATTGCTTTAACTCCAGCATTGAGTTCTGGGCATCCATTGGCTCCTTCTTTTTGGGGCTTTTGGGTTCGTCAGAAGAGATTGGCCCTCTGCTATTCGAAGTGGCCTCACCCCAGAAGTTACGGAGATTCTTAAACTGTGAGCGGTTTGCTCCGAGACCTGGGGACGACTTCTCCAGTCTCTGATTCATCGTGAAGACTGTGAAATTCTGTATTTTTCTGTCAGAGGAAAGGTTGGAATCCCCTTCGTGGTCGCTGTCAGATTCTTTGCAGATTGACCTCAGGTCAAACTCTGACTTGGTAAACCTTTTATTCAGCTTTCCTGGGGCCGATGATGGAATTTGAGTCACGCTGGAGTCTCCTGCCTCTTTTGATTTACCAGTGTAAAATATAGGCCTGTTCTTCTCCTGCTCCCAGAAGGACTTGAGCTGCTTTATCTTGACTGCCTTGCTGTCCTGCCGAGGGGGAACCTGCTTCAGAGTGTGTGGGCTATTTCCTTGATCTTTAATGGTGTGGTCTTGTTTTTTACTGGACACACTTGACTGTACAAAATCTCCTTTCAATTCTTTACCCCCCTTTGTTTCTTCATTGACATTGCTCTGCTGAGTTTTGGGGGCAAACTGTTCACTTTCTTTTTCAACCTTGTGTCTAGACTGATGGAACTTCTTAGAGTCTGGGCTGGTTGCAGGCTGGACGAGTAGTTCAGGCAGTGGATTGGGACTGGACTTGGACCTGGCCCTGGATGGCATTTCAGGCTGGGGTTTTGGTGTGGCAGGTGAGAGCTTCACAGGCTGGGGGTTGACTGTGGGCTGGAGGAGCAGTTCAGGCTGAGGACTGAGTGTGGATGGGGAGAATCTCTGAGGTTCTGGGCTGAGTCTGGACTTGGACAGCGTGTCAGGCTGAGGATGGAGTCTAGTTAGGAAGACTATTTCTGCCTCTGAGCTTCTTCTGTCTACTGTCATTGGGGATCTTCTGAGATCTTCTTCTTTTAAAGTCAAATCGTCCTCCTCACTTTGAGCCCCAGGAGTGTAGCTAACATCCCAGGTTGGCAGTGTACGTATCTCTACAGAGGGAGCAATAACAACACTCTTTTGGGGTGTGTATACCTCCTGTTTGTAAGGGCTAACACTCGGCTGTACACTTCTCACATCTTGACTAGCAGGGTTTTGTTGAGTATCTAGGCTTAACCGTTCATTTTCTTTTCCATCCCCAAGATTCTTCCTGGATGACTCCTCTACACCGTATGACTCTGGGCCAGGAACAGTTCTATGAGACTTCTCTGCTAGTTCTCTCTCTTTCTTTCTCTTTCTCCATTTGTTTCTGTCCTTTGTCAATGATTGATCTGCTGATGAGTATCTTGGGACCGGTGTTGCCCTTCTCCCAGAAGGACTTCAGGTGGGAGATTTTGGGTGGTTGGTTCTCATCTTGGACCTCCTCCTTCTGTTTTACTTCCTGTGTTGTGACCTGTGGACCAGCAGCTTTGGCTGGAGGGCCACTGACCTTCACATCCTCTTGCCTATCTACCACATCCTGTTCTCTATCTAACATCACTTGCTTGAACTCCTTCCTATATGCTGCTCTCAGCCTCTCAGCCTCAGACAAGCGTCTCTTGGGCTGGTATGATCTTTCTGTATTCAGAGGTGACTGGTCCGGAGGTTGATCCACAGAGGATTCAGACTGAGATCCATCCTCTACCTCTGGTGTTAAACACACTGACATTCCTTCTCCAATACTTTGTATATCCAGTCTGGGGTCAACATGTAGAAGCTTTCTCTTCACCTCTGGAGCTTTCCTCTCCATCTGCTGAGACCTGCTCTCAAAGGTAGGCTGATCATCTGTATCTGTTTTCACAGAGCCAATCACGTCTTCCTCTATGTCTGGTTGATCGCTCTCAGTCTCCAGCCAGTCGTTGCTGTCTGTGCTGCGGCTGAACCACTCTAAGACTTTAGAGATGGAGTCGCCCTCCTCCCCTGTGGGTTGGGGACTACGGGGGGCTGATTTAGAGGCAGGTTTGCGCCCTACTGGTTTTTTATGAACATGCTTATCAGGCTTATCCCCAGAGTTATGGAGTTCATGATGCGTCCATTGATCTGAAAAAAGAAAGTTAATAAAAGTGTTATGATGAATGAAAAAATAAGCTGAAAAACTCAAGATTAGACATTTCAACAGTGGCCTAGTAATACCCTTCATCATTAGTGAGAATTCCATTGACTGATCACATTCATGTACAGTTGAAGTCGGAAGTTTACATACACCTTAGCCAAATACATTTAAACTCAGTTTTTCACAATTCCTGACATTTAATTTTCACAATTCCTGACACTCCCTGTCTTAGGTCAGTTAGGATCACCACTTTATTTTAAGAATGTGAAATGTCAGAATAATAGTAGAGAGAATGATTTATTTCAGCTTTTATTTCTTTCATCACATTCCCAGTGGGTCAGAAGTTTACATACACTCAATTAGTATTTGGTAGCATTGCCTTTAAATTGTTTAACTTGGGTCAAACGTTTCGGGGAGCCTTCCAGAAGCTTCACACAATAAGAGCTGGTGTAACTGAGTCAGGTTTGTAGGCCTCCTTGCTCACACACGCTTTTTCAGTTCTGCCCACAAATGTTCAATAGGATTGAGGTCAGGGCTTTGTGATGGCCACTCCAATACCTTGACTTTGTTGTCCTTAAGCCATTTTGCCAAAACTTTGGAAGTATGCTTGGGGTCATTGTCCATTTGGAAGACCCATTTGCGACCAAGCTTTTACTTCCTGACTGATGTCTTGAGATGTTGCTTCAATATATCCACATAATTTTCCTTCCTCATGATGCCATCTATTTTGTGAAAGTGCACCAGTCCCTCCTGCAGCAAAGTACCCCCACAGCGTGATGCTGCCACCCCCGTGCTTCACAGTTGGGATGGTGTTCTTTGGCTTGCAAGCAACCCCCTTTTTCCTCCAAACATAACGATGGTCATTATGGCCAAACAGTTATATTTTTGTTTCATCAGACCAGAGTACATTTCTCCAAAAAGTACAATCTTTGTCCCCATGTGCAGTTGCAAACCGTAGTCTGGCTTTTTTATGGCGGTTTTGGAGCAGTGACTTCTTCCTTGCTGAGCGGCCTTTCAGGTTATGTCGATATAGAACTCGTTTTACTGTGGATATTGATACTTTTGTACCTGTTTCCTCCAGCATCTTCACAAGTCCATTGCTGTTGTTCTGGGATTGATTTGCACTTTTCGCACCAATGTACGTTCATCTCTAGGAGACACGCGTCTCCTTCCTGAGCGGTATGAAGGCTGCGTGGTCCCATGGTATTTATACTTGCGTACTATTGTTTGTACAGATGAACGTGGTACCTTTTCTGAGGTCTTGGCTGATTTATTTTGATTTTCCCATGATGTCAAGCAAAGAGGCACTGAGTTTGAAGGTAGGCCTTGAAATACATCCACAGGTACACCTCCAATTGACTCAAATTATGTCAATTAGCCTATCAGAAGCTTCTAAAGCCATGACATCATTTTCTGGAATTTTCCAAGCTGTTTAAAGGCACAGTCAACTTAGTGTATGTAAACTTCTGACCCACTGGAATTGTGATACAGTGAATTATAAGTGAAATAATCTGTCTGTAAACAATTGTTGGAAAAATTACTTGTGTCATGCACAAAGTAGACATTTGTGGAGTGGTTGAAAAACGAGTTTTAATGACTCCAACCTAAGTGTATGTAAACTTCCGACTTCAACTGTATAAACAGTACCCTTGGGCCAAGAACTTGAATGACTTTGAATATATTTTCACACTGGTTTTAGATTGTAGTGTGGGCTCCATTTATTCTCACTTTCTGTCTTTGGACTTACCCACAGTGCTTGGAGGCAGACTAAGGTCCTCCTGTCTGATTGCGGTGCCCATCCTGCGGGTTCTTATCATCTCCTTGTCCTGCATCTCAATGAGTTGAAAGGTTGCGTGCTGAGAAGGCTGGTGGTGAGTAGGGGCTTTTAGTTCTGAACTCGGAGAGAGTGGTATGGACAGAGGTTCTGAAAATTGACCATCAGACCTCTCTCTGCCCTGAGGAGGACACACATTGACAAACTCTCTCTGGATGAGACCATCACTACTCTTCTGACCACCTCTGTAGGATTTATCTGTGTGTCTGTCATTATCAGAGTGTGTGACTGGTCTAAGGTCCAATAGTCTGAGAGGCTTTGGCTCACTCAGGGGCCTCAATTGAACTTTGGAACTCTCAGTTTCCCTAAGAGGAGAGGGAGTCCTCACTGGTGGTCTGACAAGTGAGTTATCTGAGGGCTCCTCTGCTGTCCTCTCTCTCTCATGGGCCTCTTTCTCTCTCTCCAGCTCAGTATTGGTGGAGACTATGGGTTAAATCCTTCAGTGGCTTATGGGAGAGGTGACTCAAAGTGTTCAGTTGCTGACTGGAGGGAGAAACTGGATTTGCATTGTTCTGTATCTCAGAGATGGGAGATGGAGTAATTTTCTGTGACTGAACGTCCAATGCCCCCTGGCTGGACTGGTTGGAGCCACAGCTGGAGCCATGTTGGAGACTTCCCTGAGGGGCAGGGGCGGTAACCTTTGACCCAGCTGGATGACTTTGCTGCCCAGGGATGGAGGCATCACTGCCTGTGAGAGAGCTCTGAGAGCGCCGGGAGAGGAAGGTTCTCTTCTTGGGCACGGGCCTGAATCCTAGAGAGGACCCTTCGGAGGTGGCAGAGCCTGCTGAGTTGTGACTGGTGGAGTCTGCTGTCATGTGAATCTTCAGGGGAGATAAGGGCTCTGTGTGTGTGAGACCACAATGGTGGAACATGAGGAGATTATGATTATTTACTGTGATAAGTTCTTGCCATGTCACAGGCCTGGTTGGCATCAGTATCACCTTACTACAGATGTAGGATCTTAATTTGACCTATATTGCCACAGCAAAAAGAATCCTGCAGCAACAGGATTTGAACGTTTAGTCCATAATGTTGCTTGATCGTGATTATGCTATTAGCTAGCCAAAAGTAGGCTACATGAAAAGTGCAATACTGTTAATATAACTGTGTGTTTTTTCTGAATTAATGTAAATCACAAAGCTCATCTGCAGTGCAGGAACATTCTCAGCAACAAAATAATGACCAAATGAAGATCCTACATCTGTAAATCACTATTGTGAATCAGCCAAAATAAGTTCTCATAGCATCCTGAAAGATCATGTTACTCGATTTGACTCAACCTCCTATTCTACAATGTACCTCTATGTTTACATAATGCTTGATTGTGTAAAAAGGTATATGCACTGCACTCTAACCTGCATCAGATGCTTTCTCAGCCTCTTGATTTCCATTGGATAACTGTTTTTCTGTCTTCTCTACCTCCAGAATAAGGGATGCTCGATTGAAAGGATTGTGCCTTGGCTGGAATGAGAAGAGAATAACATTATTAGGAAATGCAATTGGTTTATGATTCTATATTTCATAATACTGTAAAAGTCATACTGTGATATGGTGATTGGAAAAACAGAGGTTTGTTTATTCTGTTCATGCTTCACATATACTCTCTGCAAATGAAATCTCACATACCCTTCCCGGGGAGCGCACCACTGAATTCAGTGTCTCTTTCTTTGCATCTGATACACTGAGGCTTTCGCTGCAAAGGAGACAGAATAATCACTATCAGAATAGAATAGGAATTGGGGTTGTATACTATAGATGAGCAGCCCTCAGAGGACCAGGATACACTGCACTGGAATCAGATGGACTTTGGGGACCACTGCTACACTGTGGCCTATTTGCACTTCCTCATTAAATTCCTGAGCACCTCTGTGACTGGCTGTTCAGTGAATACGCCTCCTGCATAACTGATGCCTGCTCACATGTGATTAATTGTGACATCAAAGGGAGGCAGGGCTGTGGAAGGGCCGACTTGCCTAGAGAGCTGGCTGCTGCCCACTGGGAGTCAGGGAGATAAACACAGCCCATATGACCTCATGCATAGCATGCCAACACACCCATCTTCACTACAAGACTTCACTTTGTAGTGACTTTAGGAAGTGGTGTAAGATATACAAATTAAACATTTTCTGAAACAATTTCCTAAATCTTCCCAACCCTCTCCCTACGCAAACCCCTGGCAGCCCCCCTCCCGAACTTGAACCGGTTCAAATACAAGTGACTGGGTAGAGAATCATACTGCCACGTTACCTGTACAATAACAGCCACACATAAAATTACAGGCCTCTCAAATTGAATTACCGGCTTCTCAAAATAATCACTTTTTATAGCATTCCCATAGTGACTGACTCCTAGCCTCGTGAAATATAACAGAGGAGACAGATTCCATGCAAGGAGTGAGCACCACCTATGTTGACTCAAATTGAGTCTAGAGACACACCTAAGACACACACACACACCTAAGACACACACACACCACAGGACTCAGGAGCTGTTCAAACACACGAGTATCTCACTCACTCTGTGCAGGCAAACATTATGATTGATCACTCATGCTGAACTTCTATACTGACTTAGCCTCAAGGCATGGTTATGAGACTGGGTAGAGTAATAGGTTACAGTAGAGAGAGGAATGGGTTAGGAATGCAGTGGAGCAGTGGATCACCTGTTCTCTTGGGGCTGTGTTGGTTGTGTTGGTGCCACCAGGAGCCTGGAAGGTTTTGGAGGGGGGGTGATGTCTGAGACTTTACCGCTGACTGCTCTGGGTCTGGACAGAGACCCATCTGAAAGAAAGAAAGAAAGAAAGAAAGAAAGAAAGAAAGAAAGAAAGACAGACAGACAGACAGACAGACAGACAGACAGACAGACAGACAGACAGACAGACAGACAGACAGACAGACAGACAGACAGACAGACAGACAGACAGACAGACAGACAGACAGACAGACAGACAGACAGACAGACAGACAGACAGACAGACAGACAGACAGACAGACAGACAGACAGACAGACAGACAGACAGACAGACAGACAGACAGACAGACAGACAGACAGACAGACAGACAGACAGACAGACAGACAGACAGACAGACAGACAGACAGACAGACAGACAGACAGACAGACAGACAGACAGACAGACAGACAGACAGACAGACAGACAGACAGACAGACAGACAGACAGACAGACAGACAGACAGACAGACAGACAGACAGACAGACAGACAGACAGACAGACAGACAGACAGACAGACAGACAGACAGACAGACAGACAGACAGACAGACAGACAGACAGACAGACAGACAGACAGACAGACAGACAGACAGACAGACAGACAGACAGACAGACAGACAGACAGACAGACAGACAGACAGACAGACAGACAGACAGACAGACAGACAGACAGACAGACAGACAGACAGACAGACAGACAGACAGACAGACAGACAGACAGACAGACAGACAGACAGACAGACAGACAGACAGACAGACAGACAGACAGACAGACAGACAGACAGACAGACAGACAGACAGACAGACAGACAGGGAATAAGTGCTTACAGTACACTCGCTATAAACTCAATAACCCATGTCTGCTGATGATCTGGACATACAAACCCAATATCATAAATTTTACTTATACCACAGCATTGTTGAATACACATTCCTGATTGGTTAGAAAGGTGATCTAGAATGGACATTAAAACCAGATAAAAGGACAGTTGGAAAGATATCAGGACACCTTGCAATCATGACGCAATAAGCGTTTAGTACTAAATACAGTACCTTTGCGGCCTGACTTTGGTAGCACCCCTCCGTACACATTCTACTCTGATGTATGGCTTTTTCATTATACGGCAGTATGTGTGTACTGCACACATGCTTATCTTTGTGTGAGCACTAAATTAGTTGTTTGAACAGTGTTGCTGACCCACCTAAAGAACCTGCTTTCCTCTGCTTCATGGAGGCCAGGATGATTTCGGAGCCATGGATCTTATCCCTGTGTCTCAGAGACTTGGCCTCGTAAAACCACTCTCCTGTCAGGTACTTGAGCCTGCTCTCCACTGGGGCGCTGGTTTTCTGCAGCTGCCTGATGGGAAAAACACACACAGGTACATTACACTATACAGGATACAGTCCAGTTACCTGTTAAACACATAAGCACAAGAGGTCATGGCTAGAACACAGTTCAGTCAAGGATGTGATTCTGAATAATTACCTTTAGGTAATGCCATTGATGTATTCTGGTTGAGAGACACACTATAGGCTAAAGGTTGACAGGGAAAAGGTACATTTACCACCACATGAGTTAACAATCTAAACCAATAGAGATGGGAACACAATGCAGCGCTTGTGCCAAATAGTTCACATTCTTTGGGAGGAGAAAACACTTACTTTATTCAATAAGTATTAAATGAGGGAAAGCTCAACAATGATTTCCCTTTGAATTCGTTGTTTGTGACTACGCAAGACGTTTTCTTTTTTTTCTTCTTTTTTCTTGGGGGTAGATCAGCTTAATATTGCAGATAGATTGTAACTTCCATCAATGTAATTGTCTGCATCACTTCCAATCCCCCATGTTTTTTATATATATCCTCCCCTTTATTACTTTTCAACCCCGCCATCCTTTCCCTACTTGGAGTAAATTAGTGAACAACAATGCCCAGGCCTCTACTTTCAGCCTATACTTAGCCTATAATTCTATTTTATTTGCTTTTGCTCCTGAACTTCTTCTACTCTCAACCTCTCCGATCATTTTCATGATGTCCATCCGGTTTGCTTCTACAGTGGGGGAAAAAAGTATTTAGTCAGCCACCAATTGTGCAAGTTCTCCCACTTAAAAAGATGAGAGAGGCCTGTAATTTTCATCATAGATACACGTCAACTATGACAGACAAATTGAGAAAAAAATTCCAGATAATCACATTGTAGGATTTTTTATGAATTTATTTGCAAATTATGGTGGAAAATAAGTATTTGGTCACCTACAAACAAGCAAGATTTCTGGCTCTCACAGACCTGTAACTTCTTCTTTAAGAGGCTCCTCTGTCCTCCACTCATTACCTGTATTAATGGCACCTGTTTGAACTTGTTATCAGTATAAAAGACACCTTTCCACAACCTCAAACAGTCACACTCCAAACTCCACTATGGCCAAGACCAAAGAGCTGTCAAAGGACACCAGAAACAAAATTGTAGACCTGCACCAGGCTGGGAAGACTGAATCTGCAATAGGTAAGCAGCTTGGTTTGAAGAAATCAACTGTGGGAGCAATTATTAGGAAATGGAAGACATACAAGACCACTGATAATCTCCCTCGATCTGGGGCTCCACGCAAGATCTCACCCCGTGGGGTCAAAATTATCACAAGAACGGTGAGCAAAAATCCCAGAACCACACGGGGGGACCTAGTGAATGACCTGTAGAGAGCTGGGACCAAAGTAACAAAGCCTACCATCAGTAACACACTACGCCGCCAGGGACTCAAACCTGCAGTGCCAGACGTGTCCCCCTGCTTAAGCCAGTACATGTCCAGGCCCGTCTGAAGTTTGCTAGAGTGCATTTGGATGATCCAGAAGAGGATTGGGAGAATGTCATATGGTCAGATGAAACCAAAATAGAACTTTTTGGTAAAAACTCAACTCGTCGTGTTTGGAGGACAAAGAATGCTGAGTTGCATCCAAAGAACACCAAACCTACTGTGAAGCATGGGGGTGGAAACATCATACTTTGGGGCTGTTTTTCTGCAAAGGGACCAGGACGACTGATCCGTGTAAAGGAAAGAATGAATGGGGCCATGTATCGTGAGATTTTGAGTGAAAACCTCCTTCCATCAGCAAGGGCATTGAAGATGAAACGTGGCTGGGTCTTTCAGCATGACAATGATCCCAAACACACCGCCCGGGCAACGAAGTAGTGGCTTCGTAAGAAGCATTTCAAGGTCCTGGAGTGGCCTAGCCAGTCTCCAGATCTCAACCCCATAGAAAATCTTTGGAGGGAGTTGAAAGTCTGTGTTGCCCAGCGACAGCCCCAAAACATCACTGCTCTAGAGGAGATCTGCATGGAGGAATGGGCCAAAATACCAGCAACAGTGTGTGAAAACCTTGTGAAGACTTACAGAAACGTTTGACCTGTGTCATTGCCAACAAAGGGTATATAACAAAGTATTGAGAAACTTTTGTTATTGACCAAATACTTATTTTCCACCATAATTTGCAAATAAATTCATTAAAAATCCTACAATGTGATTTTCTGGATTTTTTTTCCTCATTTTGTCTGTCATAGTTGACGTGTACTTATGATGGAAATTACAGGCCTCTCTCATCTTTTTAAGTGGGAGAACTTGCACAATTGGTGGCTGACTAAATACTTTTTTTCCCCCACTGTATATGCCATATCTTTCTAACTGTGCTCTTTCCCAAAAGCTCCCAACATACAACCTATATAGTTATTATGGACACAGTATGCTTACATTATTAGTTATCTTGTTATTATTTGTTGTTATTTGTTATTAGTCCCATCCTTCAACTCCATTCAATACCTCCCATCTATCTCTTAACACCATCCATTTAGGATTTCTATTTGCCATATATATTTCAACCGCAAGACGTTTTCTTTGTAACAACACTGTTTAGCTGGATATGCACTGAGAGTACATACAATATATGCCTTTTTATTCAAGTGAACAAGCGAGTTTGACCAAGACAGTGACACCGTTTCTAGTTTTTATTCATGGTTGTTCTGTGTAACTCTACTCTCATATTATGGGGGAAACATAATTCCTTGGGCAAACAAAAGGGCCATACCACCACAGGCAACCACCTGAAGCTGCAGCATATCTGTTTGAACACAACTCCTCACTAATGCCACCTCATATATAACACACTTTATTCGATTACAGAAGTGATATCAGGTTTCTAATCAAATACTGTTTAATTGCATTTGTTTACTTTTCAAATATGCGAACTAGAGAAAAGGCTCAACTGGAACTTGATGATGAACCTGACATCTTTGAAAAGCTGCGGAGCCTTTGTTGTTTGCCAACGTTCTTGTGAAACATAATTCTGTTACAATAAGAGAAACAGTGCACATAATTGGGAATCGCAAAAGTTTTGCCATTAGCAGGGTTAGGACTCATCTTTCCTTTTACATTTGACATTTTAGTCATTTAGCAGACTTTCTTATCCAGAGCGACTTATAGTAAGTGCTTTCGGCACACGGGAGATGACAAGTGCCTGGATTAGGACCTGCGCCACTTCCTGTGTGAGATAAGGTCGTACTCTATTGATGTTGTAGAGCATGAACCTGCAGGAGCAAGGCACTGCTTTGATATTTGCAGTGAATGACAGGGTGTCGTCCAGGGTCACGCCAAGGTTCTTTGCACTCTGGGAGGGGGACACCGTAGAGTTGTCAACCGTGATGGAGAGGTCTTTGAGCGGGCAGGCCTTCCCCAGGAGGAAGAGCAACTCCGTCTTGTTGAGGTTGAGTTTGAGGTGGTGGGCCGACATTCAAGCTGAAATATCTGCCAGGCACGCAGAGATGCGTGTCGCCACCTGGGTGTCAGAAGGGGGGAAGGAGAACAGTAGTTGAGTGTCATCCGCATAGCAAAGATAGGAGAGACCATGTGAGGATATGACGGAGCCCAGTGACTTGGTGTATAGAGAGAAGAGGAGAGAGCCTAGAACCGAGCCCTGGGGGACACCAGTAGTGAGAGTACGTGGTGCAGACACAGATCCTCTCCACATCACCTGGTAGTAGCGGCCTGCCAGGTCAGATGCAATTCGAGAGTGTGCAGAGCCTGAGACGCCCAGCCCTGAGAGGAGGATCTGATGGTTCACAGTGTCGAAGGCAGCAGACAGATCTAGGAGGATAAGAACAGAGGAGATAGAGTCAGCTTCGGCAGTGCGGAGAGCCTCCGTGAAACAGAGAAGAGCAGTCTCGGTTGAGTGACCTGTCTTGAAGCCTGACTGGTTAGGGTCAAGAAGATCGTTCTGAGAGAGATAGCGAGAGAGTTGGTCACAGACAGCACGCTCAAGTGTTTTGGAAAGAAAAGAAAGAAGGGATTCCGGTAGTAGTTTTTGACATCAGAGGAGTTGAGTGTTCGTTTCTTGAGGAGGGGAACCACTTGGGACATTTTGAAATCTGAGGGGATGCAGCCAGTGGTCAAAGATGAGTTGATGAGGGTGAGAAGTTCTCCAGAGATGGTCTGGAGAATGGAGGAGGGATGGGGTCGAGCGGGCAGGTTGTCGGGCGGCCAGACCTCACTAGTCGCAGGATTTCATCTGGAGAGAGAGGGGAGAAAGAGGTCAAGGCGCAGGGTAGTTCTGTATGAGTGAGACCAGTGGACTCAATAGGTTGAATGAATGAGGAGCGGATGTCGTCAACCTTCTTTTCAAAGTGATTGACAAAGTCGTCTGCAAAAAGGGAGGAGGGAGAGGGTGTAGGATTAAGGAGGGAGGAGAAGGTGGAAAAGAGAAGGTAAACAACCCTGGTCATGTGAAAGGGGGGTAGCACAGTATTACACATGATTGGCGCTAATCCTTTTACACTAAGGCCATGGCGGAACACAGACAAGTCAACCATACAGAGTCAGTCTCCAGTCTTCTACTGTTAGAAATAGACTTGTCTGGCCAACTCCATTACAGAATCAAAGTGAATAGGCCTTTGTTTCTCGACTTTTGTCTCACTGTGGAACTGCTTTGACAAGAAGGCTTAAGACTGAAGCTAATTTAAGATACCCAGTTGTCCTTAGTTAGCACGTCTGAATGTGTAATGACATGACAAGAAATTCTAAGTCTGTCTGAGTATACATCAACACAACGTTGTTTATGTAGTGGATGTGCCTCAGGATTCCATGGTTAAACGCAGTGAGGTGTATCTCTGTGTTCTACCTCTGAGGGTATCTATTTCGGACCATTGAGCCTGCATTTTTCTCTCCCACGTGGTTCTGTGAAGTTGAATTGGAGGGATAATCTAATTGCTTATCTCACATTGAAGCCGCTCTGTGGTGGAGGCAGTGTCCGTATCCGGCTGTGTTATATTACAGACAGACAAACATCACCTCACCGGCCTGTTTACCACTCCCACACAGGTGGGGGAGGTTGACAGAGAAACCACTCTCCTCATAGAATGAAAAGGAACGAATAGGAACTAAAAAATAAAACAATATTGAAAACATAACATTATCTAATCAAATATAGCATATTTACATGCAATACACAAAGCATGTATTTAGAGGGTGGAGATGCTAAGTGGGGCAACACTAATGCTATAAAAATAAGATGTGGAAACTATTAAATAATCTAATGACAGTCATGGTTCAGAGCTGTGAAAATATGGCTATCACACACTCACTTGATCCTCTCCTCCTCTGTTTTCTTCAGCTCTTCGTCTCTCTTCAGCACGGTCATGATCATCGACTGTTCCTCCTCCGTCAGATGGCTCAGGTCTATCATGGTGACTCAGGTTCACTCTCTCGCCTGGGCTGGTGTGGAAAGGGCCTGGAGTTGGGCCCTGTGGCCTGTTGAGGCAGTCAGTGATGGGATGTGATGGGCGGCGTCTGTCTCTAAGCTCGGAGCTCCAGAGGCATCGCTCAGGTAGCTAGCACCTGCAGAGTTGATACGAATATTCAAAGTGTGATCACACATTGCTCATTATAGTAAAACAGTGCCCCTAAGCAACAACAGACATATGACCAAAGGCTGAGTGTTTGATCATAGCATGGCCTTGCTCTTGGGGAAAACATTTAAAAGCGGATGCTTTTGAACTGATGCTACAGTACAGTACAGTACATCACAGCACATTTAGTCCTTAGGTAAGGTGATAAACCTGTTCATGTCAAGATTAGGCTCTGTATGGAGAACCTTGTGAAGACTGTAAATGAACAGTAATCAAGCTGGATCAAACACTAATTCAGTAAATCATGCTGGATCAAAAACGATTTCAGAAATCATGCTGGATCAAACAGTAATTCAGTAAATCATTCTGGATCAAACACTAATTCAGTAAATCATGCTGGATCAACAACTAATTCATTTAAGTTAATGTGATTTGTCTCTGCGGCCACATGGACTAAGTGTACTCTGTATTATTTTCTCTAAACTACAAACTGATGGTGCAGTGGGTGGAGAGTTGGACTAAAGTGGTTTAATTAATGTGCTTTAGTTGTTTCTGAACACTGGGGTGATCAATGCCTTGTTAAATAAATCGCATACAGTGAGTGAAATAAGGTAGTATTAATCATGATTTACAGTCATTGAGAAACAAAATACTATGTTGAGTTGATAGTCAGTTGAAATCAGAACTATGCTGGGTATAATTAAGCCCTAAATAGGTAAGGATTTATTCCTGTGTAAACCATCTGACATATTGGCTGTCTTCACACAGGCAGCCCAATTCCGATATTTTTTCCACTAATTGGTCTTTTGACCAATCACATCAGATCTTTTCACATCAGATCTTTTTCAGAGCTGATCTGATTAGTGAAAAGACCAATTTCTGAAAAAAAGATCAGAATTGGGCTGCCTGTCTAAATGCCATGTTGAAACCCCCCCTTCTAAAATGTAATTCTGCTGACTTCCCTTGGTTTGAATTTAGATCTCTATAAATAAATGTTATAGTTTGTGCTACCCAGTAGGCTACATTCAAAGACACAATTTAAGTCTTGCTGTCGCCAACTCGATTACAAAGTAAAAGCAAATTGATGTTGACACTAGAATTCCCTGTCAATTGAATATTCAGAGACATGATCCTTGATTCATAAGCCAACTTTTGCACATTAACTACTACACAACTAGAGTTGGCACAGCTGTCCCACAGATTAACCCCTCCTGTTGACTTCTGGTCAACTCTGATAGAAGGGGTGAATACTTTGTCCTCCATTATCAACAGTAAATACAAAACCAGCAACCTTGTGAAGAGTTCTTAGTGAAAATGGCTTATATATGTTGGGCAAACAGCTAAAAAGCATGCTACCTGGGCTCTGTCCTGTCTCATTGATTTGGACATTGATGTTAGCTATTCACATTATAGTTCAATGTAAGACATTTCATAATGTCATATTGTGGGTGTGAACTGTCTGTAAATCAAAGAGGTAGGCTTTTTTTTATATAGTAGCAGACAACAGTGATAACCTATAAAAAGGAAATGTTTTGTACAATGTGATGTTTTTGCCTGCTTAACCTCTCATAACTAAATTAGTGTAATTGGATAATTAAATTGCATAGAATCATGTCTTCTTCTCAGAAAGAGACGCCCAAAAGCTGCAGTATCTTAGTCCTCCTTGAAATAAGTTTACATTTGTTGTATATAGGACAACATTGAGATCAGCCTTATAAAGAAAAATAACATTTTATATATATATATATATATATATATATATATGCACCTGCATATGCCCACGACATAAAAAACACCACCAAAAAGTAGCCCAAATAAAGAATACACAGCAAAGGTCTCTGAAGTCTAAATTGCTTGTATGATATTTTCTGTCTAGCCTTAGGACATTTGAGGCAGCTCGTAATCATATTCGTTCACAAGTGTTGCCTTCTGCACCGTGGGGATTGACAGCGAATAGAAAGCCTGTGTTATGTCAAGAACTTCCAAATGTCATTGTGGGTAAGGCTTCACAACGTCCGCATGTTTTCCTCATAAAACGTTAAAGTCTAAAAACAACAGTAGATTGATATCTGACTTTGTAACTTTTTGGAGACAAATACAGACCAACCAACAAATAGTAAGTAAAAAGTTTTACCTCGTTTTGGAAGCTACCTCTGTTGAGAAATTCGGACATCCACTGGAGGGAGGTGGGTCAGACTCAGGGGAGGTATGCGCTGCACTCAAACGGGTTAAGCTCCCATAATGAGTGGTCACTGTTCAATGTCAACAGTCAACTTTAATAGCAGCCTATACTGTAGCAACTTCAAATGTATGAAGAGCGAAAAGCATTGAAAAGACAGCTGTCCAATAAAACGAGTGTTATCGTTTTTTCATACGGGTATCTAGGCTAATGTAATCGAATTACAATCTTATTACACAGTGCCAATGCCACAATGGGAATAAGTAAAATGGTGTAAAATTTACACAAGAGGAACACTAACAAGGTGCTAATTTATTAACCGTGCCATCTGGCATATTCCCTTTCAGTTGTGACATTCTTAACCTCAAGATCCAACCCACAAAGTCATGATGATTGTTGCGATAATAGCAGTGAGTCTATTTGTCAATGAGGAGTGTAGGCCTGAGGCTTGATGGAGCACAGGTGTTTGAACAGGCTGGCGTGTACAAATGCAAACGTGAATGTTGATAAAAGCAACTGTAAATAGTCTCCAAGAGATTGCATACATGCCGTTGGAGTAAAGTAGATTTAATCCAAATGCAGTATACAGTAAACTACATTACTGATTAATAACCACAGGTTTGTAGTATAGAAATTGGACACAGGGTGGCAGTCTTGTTCAGATAAAGTATACAAGGAAAGCCGCAAATAATTTGTGGAGGGTCCCCATAAAATGACCTACAAAGGAAGCTGAGGACATAAAATATTAAAATACAGGAGAAAGGCAAAAAGTCATCCAAAAGCTAAGAGAATACACATATAAACTAACCACAGTTTCAAAGATGCCATCACTGTTGCAATATTCACCAACACATTTGAATAAAATGTTTAAGAACATCATTTTGTGGAAGCTGCTCTTTATTTGAAAAAGAAAGAAAAAAAACTCAGTCAATGTCTGCTACACGTTCTAATTACATAAACAAAAATATAATCCGCGCAGGACAAATGCAGAAAATATCCTGAATCAAACTTAGGTAGTCAGATTTTGATTGAATTGCTTTCATATTTCATACATCTTTCACTTCCCTCTCAGTTGAACAGTCAGATTTATATACACAGAGCACCGATCAACAGTGCCCCTCGTTCACCCTGTTCCACTGGATCTTTATACAACTAATTTACATCAAAACTGTGACCCTTCTTTAGTATCTGCAAACACCCAGACACACTCTCCTCTCGTCTGGCTCCCAGGGAGTCAGAGCTGAGGAGCTGGTGCGGGTAGCGTGGAAAGATGTGTGCAACATGAAAGCAATTCTTTCACATTCAGAGTAAAGGCAGCCATTTCAACGGTCAGTGAGTCGATGGCATGCCAAGCTTAAAGCAAAATGGATCCCACCCCAGTGTGATGCTTCAGAAACGTGGATGAAGTGTTTTTCAACTAGACAGAAAAGTTGTTCCATTGCAAAAAACCCTAGGCACAGAATTGACTATATAGATTACTGACTCATACTGGTACCCCCTACTCCCCTTGCCCTGGGGAGATCATGAGATTTGAGCTAGTAAGAATTGTTCTTAACTCAAAACTTGGGAGAACATTTAGTGCTCTATCATTCCGTTTATAAGTGTATTTTATATAATATCTATTTTCTTTTCTCTACCTCTCCAATGAAACAATCCAACATCCATGTTTAATGCTGAAGCACTCCCACAGGTGTTCAATGTACTATAGATTTCACTATAGATTTTTTTTCCCAGTCTTAAAACCAAATAATAAATAAATAAACACACGAGGAATGTCTACTGTAAACAGAGTAAAAAAGACAAACTAAAACAGGTGTAAACATAATTAGCATCACTACTCAGTGACAGTTAAATAACTAGGAAATGGATGACTGATGATCGGATCAAGAGGGAAGGATTCCTCTCCTCTTTTCTTCTTGTCCCTCCTCCCCCTCCCACTAGATTAGAACACCAAGCTGTTACATCCAACCACAGTAGTTTTTCCAAATACATCATATCAAAGTCGCTCAGCACCCATAGCTATCTTTACAGATGATAAAATTAATGCGGAATCCCTATATTTTTTAAACTTTTTTTTACAGCAGCATCACTTGATGTCTTGGACAAGTGACAGAATAATCAGTGGTGAATTCTCTTCTACCCAGCATCATTTTGACATGGTTTCCATGGTTTTCCTCGAGTCATTGCACTGTTCGTTGTGTTCTTGACATGTCTATTTGGGGGGAGGGGGTGAACGTTTCTCTGAAGAGTTAGACTGGCAACGAGGACAAAGCTTTGCTGCTAAGTGCTTCATCTTCTGAGAGACACTTCATATTACATGAACTGCATCTGTGGGTGGAAATCAACATACAAGGATTGATTAGACAAGAGTTTTACCAGCTCGCTCATGGTGGTGCTGAAATGGTCAACTGAATAAATGCAATGAAAAGTCATCACAATGTCCTCAGAGCAAAAGCAACTGTCACAATGGCAACCTATTGGCTGAAAACTACAATGCTATATCTGAAGTCCTAGCATGGGGGAAAACGCATCTCAGCAAAGACGAAATGGCTAGTGTATCTGTGGAAAGTGTAAAACAAAGTTTAAAAACATGCTGAAATGCATCTGCTGATTGTTTAAGCGAGCAAGACACAAACCAACTAATCAAGCCCATATAAAGTGCAAGAGATATAGCGAGAGGAAATGAACAGCAGTGGTTGATAAGATGGAAGAAGCAGTGTGTTTGCAAATGAAGGAAGAGACGATAACAGTAAGGGAAGAGAAAAAAAGAGAAGCATTAGTGTGAAGCCGCGCTGCGCATGCATGTACATCCGCAAGCACACAGCATGCTGTACCTAAGAGACGCTCTACAAGAAATCCTTGAGAGAGAGCTGTGCAAATGGATCCTGTCCGGGGGCTCTGAGAGGACTCTGGCTGGAAGGACTAGAGGCTGCAGAGGGCTATTTCAGGGAGAGGGAGAAACACACGGGGAGGAGAGGAGAGGAGAGGAGAGGAGAGAGCGTGTGAGTGAGAGAGGGAGGGATCAGATAGAATGAAAGAGGAATGAAGGGTGAAAGAGAGGTTACACCAAGAGGGGGAAAATTGGGGACTCTTGAGGAAAGTGATGACAGACAGATTTGTCCCTCTCCTCCTGAGAGGTAAGAGTAAACTAGAACACTGTTGTCATCACAGGGGGTAGTACACACACACACACACACACACACACACACACACAACAGCTACTGTTACCAGACACCACTGAATACACCTGGACACTGAACTCGCACACCCCTACAATGGACATTTACCCTCACGTGCATGGTACACACACACACACGTCTGATTATTGTACACACACACCTGTGCGCTGGATACAGAGCTGAAGGGGTTGGGCGGCCTCATGACGGGCTGGTTGTACATCATGTTGGGTTGGTTCATCATACCCATAGAGCCAAGCTGTTGGGGTGGCTAAAGACAATAGCATAGAGAAACATAAGGCATTCTAGACATGCTACATTAGATTGTATAGCACTTGTTACTGTTATTCTTATTGGCTATTACCTCTCAGTGCTAGCTATACTGTATGGCTATTACCTCTCAGTGCCAGATATACTGTATGGCTATTACCTCTCAGTGCTAGCTATACTGTATGGCTATTACCTCTCAGTGCCAGATATACTGTATGGCTATTACCTCTCAGTGCCAGATATACTGTATGGCTATTACCTCTCAGTGCCAGATATACTGTATGGCTATTACCTCTCAGTGCCAGATATACTGTATGGCTATTACCTCTCAGTGCTAGCTATACTGTATGGCTATTACCTCTCAGTGCCAGATATACTGTATGGCTATTACCTCTCAGTGCTAGCTATACTGTATGGCTATTACCTCTCAGGGCTAGCTATACTTTATGGCTATTACCTCTCAGTGCTAGCTATACTGTATGGCTATTACCTCTCAGTGCTAGCTATACTGTATGGCTATTACCTCTCAGGGCTAGCTATACTTTATGGCTATTACCTATCAGTGCCAGATATACTGTATGGCTATTACCTCTCAGGGCTAGCTATACTTTATGGCTATTCCCTCTGTAAATAATAATACATTTTATTTAGCAGACACCTTTCAAGATACTCAAGGACATCTCACATTAAAAGTAGGCCTACATAAAATAAAGTGCATCAATTAAAGGAGACCAGCAGAGGAGCAATACTAGCTACTGCATGGCTATGTCCCTTAGTGCTAGCTACTGCATGGCTATGTCCCTTAGTGCTAGCTACTGCATGGCTATGTCCCTTAGTGCTAGCTACTGCATGGCTATGTCCCTTAGTGCTAGCTACTGCATGGCTATGTCCCTTAGTGCTAGCTACTGCATGGCTATTTCCCTTAGTGGTAATGGATCCAGACATCCAGCTGACAGATACTGACCATGCCATATCCCCCCATCATGCCTGTGGGTGTTGTTGCAGGGTAGGCCATGACCGGGGGGGTCTGTGGAGATACAAACACACGAATGACGACAACATCTTCTCCCACAGAGAATCCAGCAGACCAATGTCAAGTCAAGTCAACAACTTCTTAACATTGTTTGTCTGAAACCAACACTAGAGTGATACAGTAGCTAAACACTCGTCACAGGCAGATAAGAGCACCAGTACTGTACGAGGCCAATGTAGCGTGTATTACCATGGAGACGGGGTTCCAGGTGGTGTTTGGAGCTGCTTTGGGCTGCCAGTTGCTTCCGCCAGTCAGCCTCTTCTCCCCAGGCTGGCTCCAGTGGATGTCACTGTAGATTAAGACAGCTAATATTAGCACTGGCTCCTAACTGCTGCTGGCTATACAGAACAGTTCTTCATCTAGCATTGTGACCACAGCACGTTGATGAGACTGAACAGCATGAACAGCTCACTTACTTTTTCGTTGTGCCATTTCCAATCCCAAGATCTGCAAGAGGATAGTAATATAAATGTGAGATGTACACATCCAGAAACAATTATACTGCTACAGTGCCTTGCAAAAGTATTCATCCCACTTGACTTTTTTCCTATTTTGTTTCATTACAACCTGTAATTTCAATTTCATTACAACCTGTAATTTCAATTTCAAAACATTCAAAAAAATAACTAACGGAAAAGTGGTGCGTGCATATGTATTCACCCCCTTTGCTATGAAGCCCCTAAATAAGATCTGGTGCAACCAATTACCTTCAGAAGTCACATAATTAGTTAAATAAAGTCCACCTGTGTGCAATCTAAGTGTCACATGATCTGTCACATGATCCCAGTATATATACATCTGTTCTGAAAGGCCCCAGAGTCTGCAACACCACTAAGCTAGGGGCACCACCAAGCAAGCGGCACCATGAAGACCAAGGAGCTCTCCAAACAGGTCAGGGACAAAGTTGTGGAGAAGTACAGATCAGGGTTGGGTTATAAAAACATGTCAGAAACTTTGAACATCCCACGGAGCACCATTAAATCCATTATTAAAAAATGTAAAGAATATGGCAACACAACAAACCTGCCAAGAGAGCGCCGCCCACCAAAACTCACGGATCAGGCAAGGAGGGCATTAATCAGAGAGGCAACAAAGAGACCAAAGATAACCCTGAAGGAGCTGCAAAGCTCCACAGCGGAGATTGGAGTATCTGTCCATAGGACCATTTTAAGCCGTACACTCCACAGAGCTGGGCTTTACGGAAGAGTGGCCAGAAAAAAGCCATTGCTTAAAGAAATAAATAAGCAAAAACGTTTGGTGTTTGCCAAAAGCCATGTGGGAGACTCCCCAAACATATGGAAGAAGGTACTCTGGTCAGATGAGACTAAAATTGAGCTTTTTAGCCATCAAGGAAAACGCTATGTCTGGCGCAAACCCAACACCTCTCATCACCCCGAGAACACCATCCTGTGGGGTTGTTTTTCATCGGCAGAGACTGGGAAACTGGTCAGAATTTAAGGAATGATGGATGGCGCTAAATACAGGGAAATGCTTGAGGGAAACCTGTTTCAGTCTTCCAGAGATTTGAGACTGGGACGGAGGTTCACCTTCCAGCAGGACAATGATCCTAAGCATACTGCTAAAGCAACACTTGAGTGGTTTAAGGGGAAACATTTAAATGTCTTGGAATGGCCTAGTCAAAGCCCAGACCTCAATCCAATTGAGAATCTGTGTTATTACTTAAAGATTGCTGTACACCAGCAGAACCCATCCAACTTGAAGGAGCTGGAGCAGTTTTGCCTTGAAGAATGGGCAACAATCCCAGTGGCTAGATGTGCCAAGCTTATAGAGACATACCCCAAGAGACTTGCAGCTGTAATTGCTGCAAAAGGTGGCTCTACAAAGTATTGACTTTGGGGGGGTGAATAGTTATGCACGCTCAAGTTCTGTCTTATTTCTTGTTTGTTTCACCCAAAAAAGTATTTTGCATCTTCAAAGTGGTAGGCATTTTGTGTAAATCAAATGATACAAACCCCCCAAAAATCAATTTTCATTCTAGGTTGTAAGGCAACAAAATAGGAAAAATGCCAAGGGGGGTGAATACTTTCGCAAGCCACTGTATAGCTGTGTGACATATTGCGGTCTAACCTAGGAGTCAAAATATAAATAGACACCATGATTCACTCAGGCAAAGATGGGTATTGATCTCTTTTAAATCCTTAGTTTTCTGTTTGAGGAGTTTAATCTGAATGAAATATCCTAGCATGACGTTGTGACACTTACTGCCCACCAGGTTGGCCAGGGAGGAGTCCAGGTCATCTCCCACCAGTTTGTCTGACAGCAGATTGATGGAGCACAGCGCCTGATTGGAGCCGACCATGGTGGGTTTCAGGATGTCTAAGGAGGACAGAGAGGTGTACATTGGTTGGATGTGAAACACCATGTGTATCAAACAGTATAATATTCAACCCCTCACCATCAGATTCCATGTTAGCGCCGGTAGCTTTGGCTCCAAAGACTGACTCGAAGTCCACTTGGAGTGCTCCTGGGGGAGGGGCCTGTGTTGCTGTGGAGTACCCTGTAAAGAGGTCAGAGGGGAGGCTGCTCAGAACACAGCAGGTTCAGCGATGGAGAAGTATTATACCATTGGTGTCAGAGCTGCTAAATAGTTACAGAAAGCCACCTTACAGAAAATGGTGGGCTCCTTCTAAATGGCTAGTAGAACTACGCTACCTCTGAATAGACCTGCTACAGTAGAGCTACAGGTTCTCTAGTACTCTACCTCTGAATAGACCTGCTACAGTAGAGCTACAGGTTCTCTAGTACTCTACCTCTGAATAGACCTGCTACAGTACATTTACATTTACGTCATTTAGCAGACGCTCTTATCCAGAGCGACTTACAAATAGGTGCATTCACCTTATAGCCAGTGGGATAACCACTTTACAATGTTTATATATATATATATATATATATATTATTTTTTTTTGGGGGGGGGGGGGGGGGGGGTTAGAAGGATTACTTTATCCTATCCCAGGTATTCCTTAAAGAGGTGGGGTTTCAAATGTCTCCGGAAGGTGGTGAGTGACTCCGCTGTCCTGGCGTCGTGAGGGAGCTTGTTCCACCATTGGGGTGCCAGAGCAGCGAACAGTTTTGACTGGGCTGAGCGGGAACTATGCTTCCGCAGAGGTAGGGGAGCCAGCAGGCCAGAGGTGGATGAACGCAGTGCCCTCGTTTGGGTGTAGGGACTGATCAGAGCCTGAAGGTACGGAGGTGCCGTTCCCCTCACAGCTCCGTAGGCAAGCACCATGGTCTTGTAGCAGATGCGAGCTTCAACTGGAAGCCAGTGGAGTGTGCGGAGGAGCGGGGTGACGTGAGAGAACTTGGGAAGGTTGAACACCAGACGGGCTGCAGCATTCTGGATGAGTTGTAGGGGTTTAATGGCACAGGCAGGGAGCCCAGCCAACAGCGAGTTGCAGTAATCCAGACGGGAGATGACAAGTGCCTGGATTAGGACCTGTGCCGCTTCCTGTGTAAGGCAGGGTCGTACTCTCCGAATGTTGTAGAGCATGAACCTACAGGATCGGGTCACCGCCTTGATGTTAGCGGAGAACGACAGGGTGTTGTCCAGGGTCACGCCAAGGCTCTTCGCAATCTGGGAGGAGGACACAACGGAGTTGTCAACCGTGATGGCGAGATCATGGAACGGGCAGTCCTTCCCCGGGAGGAAGAGCAGCTCCGTCTTGCCGAGGTTCAGCTTGAGGTGGTGATCCGTCATCCATACTGATATGTCTGCCAGACATGCAGAGATGCGATTCGCCACCTGGTTATCAGAAGGGGGAAAGTAGAGCTACAGGTTCTCTAGTACTCTACCTCTGAATAGACCTTCTACAGCAGAGGGCTCAGTGGGGTAGGGGGCCTGGTGTGGAAGGTGCTGGGCCATGGACACTGGACCACCACAGAAGGAGTCTGACAACGCCAAAGGAGGAGCAGGAAGAAGAAGAAGAGAGAGCAAAGGAAGGCATTTTAAGGCACGGCAAGAAAGGCAGGCAAGGCAAAGTGACAGTACAGACAGAAAGCAGACAGTTAACAGAAAACACTTAGTTAGGGACACTAACAGGTAACAAGTAAAACTAATTCTAACAAAATCAAAACAGGAACTGCAGAGTACAAGGAGATAAAAATATCCTATTGACACTAAAGTAATCTAAATCGCCAGACTACACTAACCATAGGGTTTATTATGGGGCCACTAAACACATTACATTGGTTGAGGGGCCTATGTTTGCCTATGGGTCAGGAAACATAGGCTGGGATGGTGAGCCATCGTAGTACCTGATATGGAGTGTTCTATCCGCACTGTGCGTTTGTAATAGCTTGAAACGGACGAGTTTGTGTCAGTAAAGGGATTATAACGATCTAGAGAATCAAAAATAATATTGGTAAGGGAAACAGATTTCAACTTATAGCTCTAAAAGGATACTACAAGAGCAAATAATCAAATTATTGGTTTGTAATATCAGAATCTAGAAGCAATAGCCTATTTGAAAACATTATGAAAAAATATATATCAGCAGCAGGAAAACCATCATTTTAACATAACCAACTTAGTCAGAATAATCTTGGACATGGGTTTACTAGACTCCAAAATGTGAGACCTCAATGGATAAAGCCTCATATTAGACTGAACTGGCATGGGAGCCCATCAAAAGAACATAACCAGTAACTCTACCTTCACAGTGTTAGCTTGTGGTTCTATCCTTAGCACAGTTCAATAATGGAAGCTATCATAGAAACATGGCAAGTGGAGGCTTTGCATTTTGAGGTACACAACAAACATTTAACTTTAGACAGCTATGAGATCATTTACAGTGCATTCAAAAAATATTCAGACCCCTGACTTTTTCCACATTTTGTTATGTTACAGACTTATTCTAAAATTGATTAAATAAATAAAAATCCTCAAACTATATACACAATACCCCATAAAAACAGGTTTTAGAAATAAATAAAAAACGTATTTACATAAGTATTCAGACCCTTTGCTATGAGACTCGAAATTGAGCTCAGGTGCATCCTGTTTCCATTGATCATCCTTGAGATGTTTCTGCAACTTGATTGGAGTCCACCTGTGGTAAATTCAATTGATTGGACATGATTTGGAAAGGCACACACCTGTCTATATAAGGTCCCACAGTTGACAATGCATGTCAGAGCAGAAACCAAGCCATGAGGTCGAAGGAATTGTCCGTAGAGCTCAGAGACAGGATTGTGTCGAGGCACAGATCTGGGGAAGGGTACCAAAACATTTCTGCAGCATTGAAGGTCCCCAGGAACACAGTGGCCTCCATAATTCTTAAATGGAAGAAGTTTGGAACCACCAAGACTCTTCCTAGAGCTGGCCACCCGGCCAAACTGAGCAATCAGGGGAGTAGGGCCTTGGTCAGGGAGGTGACCAAGAACCCGATGGTCACTCTGACAGAGCTCCAGTGTTCCTCTGTGGAGATGGGAGAACCTTCCAGAAGGACAACCATCTCTGCAGCACTCCACCAATCAGGCCGTTATGGTAGAGTGGCCAGACGGAAGCCACTCCTCAGTAAAAGGCACATGACAGCCCGCTTGGAGTTTGCCAAAAGGCACCTAAAGGACTCTCAGACCACGAGAAACAAGATTCTCTGGACTGATGAAACCAAGATTGAACTCTTTGGCCTGAATGCCAAGCGTCACGTCTGGAGGAAACCTGGCACCATCCCTACGGTGAAGCATGGTGGTGAGAGCATCATGCTGTGGGGATGTTTTTCAGTGGCAGGGACTGCGAGACTAGTCAGAATCGAGGGAAAGATGAACGGAGCAAAGTACAGAGAGATCCTTGATGAAAACCTGCTCCAGAGTGCTCAGGACCTCAGACTGGGGCGAAGGTTCACCTTCCAACAGAAAATGACCCTAAGCACAAAGCCAAGACAACGCAGGAGTGGCTTCGGGACAAGTCTCTGGATGTCTTTGAGTGGCCCAGCCAGAGCCTGGATTTGAACTCGATCTAACATCTCTGGATAGACCTGAAAATAGCTGTGCAGCGTCGCTCCTCATCCAACCTGACAGAGCTTGAGAGGATCTGCAGAGAAGAATGGGAGAAACTCCCCAAATACAGGTGTGCCAAGCTTGTAGCGTCACACCCAAGAAGACTCAAGGCTGGAATCGCTGCCAAAGGTGCTTCAACAAAGTACTGAGTAAAGGGTCTGAATACTTATGTAAATATATATATATTTTTTTATTGTATATACATTTGCAAAAAATTATAAAAACCTATTTTTGCTTTGTCATTATTGGGTATTGTGTGTAGAATGATTAGGGGGAAAAAACACTTTCATCAATTTTACAATAAGGCTGTAACATAACAAAATGTGGAGAAAGTCAAGGGGTCTGAATACTTTCCGAATTCACTGTACATGTAGACAGAAGTAACAGTAGGACTTATGGGAGACTTCCTTCAATGTCCCACAGAGACACAGGAAGGATATTTCAGAAGGAACAAAGAGTATCTTTACCACTAAACATTTCATGAGTCCTAGAGGAATAGCTAACACCGTCAGAGGAGCCGACCGGTAAGTGAGCCGCTGCATCGACAACTTTTGAGAGGAAAGGGTTAAGGTTTGGCATGGAGTCATCTCCAGCTTCAGCAGAGGTGAAAGGATCTAGGCAGGCAGAAGAGAGAAAGAAAGATGAGATACAGAAGAGAAGAACAGGAGGACATCAGAGTCAGACGCAACAGGAAGAGAGGGAGAGCACGCAGAACATAGTAGAAAACAGTAGACAATAGAGTGGTCCTGTGGTGGTGGCTGTTTCTCCTACCTGCCCATACTGTGGCCACAGGAAGCCCTGTAGAACTGGCCTGCATTGAAGGGTTAAAGGTCTGCTGAATGTCAAACAAGTCACTCTCCATCTTCAGAGCACTGAGGAGAGAAGACAGCAGTGATGCTATACCTGAATCAACACTGGGACATCTAGCTAAACATCAGCATTACCAGATACACAGAAGTATAGAGGTAGAGGTTCTCCATAACCACATATCTAAAAAGAAACGTCCTCTCACTGTCAACTGCGTTTATTTTCAGTAAACTTAACATGTGTAAATATTTGTATGAACATAACAAGATTCAACAACTGAAACATAAACTGAACAAGTTCCACAGACATGTGACTAACAGAGATGGAATAATGTGTCCCTGAACAAAGGGGGGGGGGGGTCAAAATCAAAAGTAACAGTCAGTATCTGGTGTGGCCACCAGCTGCATTAAGTACTGCAGTGCATCTCCTCCTCATGGACTGCACCAGATTTGCCAGTTCTTGCTGTGAGATGTGACTCGTCAGTGACTCGTCAGTGAAGAACACTTTTTGCCAGTCCTGTCTGTTCCAGCGACGGTGGGTTTGTGCCCATAGGCAACGTTGTTGCCGGTGATGTGTTTTTCAGAGTCAGTAGAAAGGCCTCTTTAGTGTCCTAAGTTTTCATAACTGTGACCTTAATTGCCTACCGTCTGTAAGCTGTTAGTGTCTTAACGACCGTTCCACAGTTGCATGTTCTTTAATTGTTTATGGTTCATTGAACAAGCATGGGAAACAGTGTTTAAACCCTTTACAATGAAGATCTGTGAAGTTATTTGGATTTTTACGAATTATCTTTGAAAGACAGGGTCCTGAAAAAGGGACGTTTCTTTTTTTGCTGAGTTTAGAATCAGAGCACTCTAAATCCTAACCTTAACCCCTAGGAGGATGAAGAAATATCTGACCCTGTATCAGTGGTTAGCAGCAACTTCTACATAATCCACGCTGACCTCTCTGGTCAACCACATGAGTGGGTAAGCTTCACAGGTCATAGGTGAACGTTTACCCATTGGAGCAGCTAGGTGTGGAGAAGAGGTCGATGGCTGGGGCTGTGCTGATAGTGCCCCCGGTGGTGGAGACAGGAGACGTGTCTGCGGTGGCGACTGAAGGCCTCTGAGAGAGCTCCTTCAGCCTCTGTTCCTGGGTGGAAAGAGTCCAAGTCAAATACAGAAGGCGATGGTTGTAGTTATGCATGTGGGCAATACTGGATCGACCAAACAAGACTTTGAATTGTTCAAATCATTGCCTGCATACTGCAACATATCACTGTCCTTCACATGTAGATGGGACAGGCAACATGAAACCATGTCCATTCTATCCATTCTCATCATATTCATGTTGTGATCCACGCGTCATGACGGCTGTACCTTCAGTGCTTTGAGACGAGCCTGTTCCTCCTCCAGAGCAGCCTGCTTCTCCCGCTCGTCTACTTTAGTAAAAGACATCCCCGTACTGGCCAGCGAGGACACTGCGTTGGATAGAGTACTGGCCCTGAAACAACACACAACAGTAAACACCTTTAGGCAGAATACTACAGCAACCCTCGCTGAAAACATCAATAACCATTACCATCAATAATAATTAAAGCAATCTTGGCTTAAGAGCTTTGTGCACAAAGCAAACCAGTTATTATAGTGGCAGCCGCTTCTAGGCTACCTTCAGGTGGAATAGTGGACTCCGTGCCAAAGACACTCCATTGTGAGACGTAGGATACGTCCCAAATGGCACCCTTTTGCCTATGCACTACTTTTGACCAGGATCTGTTCAAATGTAGTGCACTATGTAGGGTGCCATTTGAGACGTAGCATATCCTGTACATACCTGCTGGCAGCGGTGGAGTCTTTGACCTTCTTCCCCTCTAGTGAGGCCAGGTGCTGCTCCAGAGCTTCCAGGAGGCTACTGGGAGCCTGTTGTAATGGAGAACAGCAGTTAGTAAAGGCCAGGGTTGGAAACATGCAGTTAGACTGTCCTGTATGAACAAAACCATCTAAAGCCAGTGGTGGGCAACCTAGTTCAACTACTGTACTGTACATACACTAGCTATAGGCCTTGGGTTTTTCCTGACAACTTTTCTGAAAACGTTTAGCTGGTCATGTTACGTGGTGAGGAAAAACTCAGGTCCCTAACTATACTGTCCCATATACCACTATACCTTAGTTGCTGGATTCTAACTAGCACTTACTTTACTGGGAAGTGTTTAGCTCCTCACTACAGGGACAAATACTAACTCGAGACACTACAGAAATACATTGCTGTACAAGTCAAAAACACAAAAGGACTGTGGGTTGCACACCACCAGTCAATGGTTGTATGCTTTTCAGCTAAAAGCCACATTGGATGAGTGATATTGAAATGTACACTACCGTTCAAAAGTTTGGGGTCACTTAGAAATGTCCTTGATCAGAAAAACATTGTTAATGTTGTAATTGGCTATTGTAGCTGGAAACGGCTGATTTCTTATGAAATATCTACATAGGCGTACAGAGGCCCATTATCAGCAACCATCAGTCCTGTGTTCCAATGGCATGTTGTGTTTGCTAATCCAAGTTTATCATTTTAAAAGGCTAATTGATCATTAGAAAACCATTTTGCAATTATGTTAGTACAGCTGAAAACTGTTGTGCTGATTAAATAAGCAATAAAACTGGCCTTCTTGAGACTAGTTGAGTATCTGGAGCATCAGCAATTGTAGGTTCGATTACAGGCTCAAAATGGCCAGAAACAAATAACTTTCTTCTGAAACTTGTCAGTCTATTCTTGTTCTGAGAAATGAAGGCTATTCCATGCGAGAAATTGCCAAGAAACTGAAGATCTCGTACAACGCTGTGTACTACTCCCTTCACAGAACAGCGCAAACTGGCTCTAACCAGAATAGAAAGAGGAGTGGGAGGCCCCGGTGCACAACTGAGCAAGAGGACAAATACATTAGAGTGTCTAGTTTGAGAAACAGACGCCTCACAGGTCCTCAACTGGCAGCTTCATTAAATAGTACCCGCAAAACACCAGTCTCAACATCAACAGTGAAAAGGCGACTCCGGGATGCTGACCTTCTAGGAAGAGTTGCAAAGAAAAAGCCATATCTCAGACTGGCCAAGAAAAATAAAAGATTAAGATGGGCAAAAGTGTTAAGGACAGACAAATTTAAGTTTGAGGTGTTCGGATCACAAAGAAGAACATTTGTGAGACGCAGACCAAATGAAAAGATGCTGGAGGAGTGCTTGATGCCATCTGTCAAGCATGGTGGAGGCAATGTGATGGTCTGGGGGTGCTTTGGTGGTGGTAAAGTGGGAGATTTGTACAGGGTAAAAGGGATCTTGAAGAAGGAAGGCTATCACTCCATTTTGCAACGCCATGCCATACCCTGTGGACGGTGCTTGATTGGAGCCAATTTCCTCCTACAACAGGACAATGACCCAAAGCACAGCTCCAAACTATGCAATAACTATTTAGGGAAGAAGGAGTCAGCTGGTATTCTGTCTATAATGGAGTGGCCAGCACAGTCACCGGATCTCAACCCTATTGAGCTGTTGTGGGAGCAGCTTAACAGTATGGTACGTAAGAAGTGCCCATCAAGCCAATCCAACTTGTGGGAGGTGCTTCAGGAAGCATGGGGTGAAATCTCTTCAGATTACCTCAACAAATTGACAACTAGAATGCCAAAGGTCTACAAGGCTGTAATTGCTGCAAATGGAGGATTCTTTGACGAAAGCAAAGTTTGAAGGACACAACTATTATTTATATTAAAAGTCATTATTTCTAACCTTGTCAATGACTACATTTCCTATGCATTTTGCTATATTTCCCATTCAAACTCATTTCATGTATGTTTTCATGGAAAACAAGGACATTTCTAAGTGACCCCAAACTTTTGAACGGTAGTGTGTGTGGATGACACACACCACGGCACTTTCAACATCATACGGTATGTGGTGTTGAATTGGCAATGCCTAAGCACACCTAGGCAGCCATGTTGGATGGGCTATGTACATTTCAGGTGACAAAGAGAACTTTGTATACAATTTGCTTCACTCCTATAAAAACACAATGTCAATGACACACAGAGTCAGAGTAGAGGCATGCAAAGACAACACCAAAGCAAGTCACAGACACAGAAGAAGAGTGAGATGAGAATACTTACACAAACTGTGAACTAAAGGTGGAAAGATAAGGGGAAATACAGAATATAAAGGTGGCGTTGGTCAGAGATAAATAGCTATATTGAACCGTAACTATAATGTATTTTAAGGGTATAACACTGTTACAGGTGCCTCATAAAAAATACATTAGGGGACATAACACACAATTAGTGCAATTGTACTTTCAAGGAAAAGTATGATCCTTGGTCGAGGAGGGATTTTCCTTGGAAATACTGTAATATAACCAGTGTCACTGCAAAGACTGACTGTAGCGTAACAGGTGTGGGGGGCCATCTATTCAATTAGCTGTACACAGTGTGAAATCAGAAGTACTGTAAGATACACAGTCAGTTTGGACTCTTAACAGCTTAACACCTTTATTTACTGTAGATAGAGCCTAATCAAGAAGAGGAAGAAAACTTATAATAAGAAAAATAATAAGGAAAAGTGAGAAATATGCCTTAATTTGGTAACATGCACTGGAGGACTTTCATGCTCTGAGCAGTGCCTTATCTCTGGGAGACATTTGTGCAGGGTGGAGTAAATATAGTGTGGTGGGGCAACAGAGCTGATTAAACAAGAGGAGTTAATAATGAGATAGAGAGACACAAAGAGAATACAGACTGAGAGAAGAAGAAAATAGAAAGTGACAGCGAGAAATAAGGGAGAAAGTGAGAGCGAGAGAGAGAGGGAGAGAGAGATGGAGACAGAGAAGGAATCCAACTGTAGAGACAAACGGATAGAGTAAGTTCGGTGTGTAGGCTTTTTGTGCAGAGAGTGTGTCTAATAGGTTATACCAGTAAATCCCTCTTACTGCAAGGCTCATTCAGGGAGTTTGGAGTGTAAAGTCTCACCTGGGAAAGGTCTGGAATGTCTCCTCGATCAATCCCCACCTGCTGTCAAACGAGAATATGTGCAAAGTTATAGTGGTGCCTCTAAATTAAAACCTATTTTCTACCTCTACCTAATTTCTGCCACCACAATTTTCTCACAAAAATGTAAATATATCTGAGGATGTTCCCTTTAATGAATGGTATTGAATTAATGAATAGCATCAAACTCAAAGAAGGTAAAGAAGAAATCACCTCCGCCACTTTAAGGAACTCTGAGATTCGGGTCATTCGGGTCAGGAACTTTTTGTAGATATCCAGGCCCTCTTTACACTGGGTTTTCTTCATGTCAAAGTACTTCTCTGTGGTTAAAAAACAAAAAAACGGCAGGCATTAGCTCTGAAAGTCTGTAGACACACTAGAGATAAACTCTGTAGAGAATCTAGTCCCATTAGTAAAATGTAGTACTGTACATATCAAAAGATCTACATTACAAGGATCTACAAAGCACTTCTCCAGACTAAACATTCTAAAAGAGTATTGATCAGAAAATAGTGGAGTAAATAAAGTTGGAGTTGAGGTTTACCCAGGAGGTTGATGATGCCTTCGTTATATGCAGCGAAAAGCCTAATGGAATCTTTGAAGAGGAGCATGAATCCTGCATTGATCACTCCGTTTGTGAGCTCATTGGCATTAACCTGAAGGAGACATCATTCAGTTTCACATAAGCCATAAGTTGCCCTTTTAATACACAATAATGACTTTGGCTTCGCTGACAAACAATAAAAGAGCAGGTCAGTGAGGAGGAAAATAGCCTGTATCTATCTCTGGTTTCAGCACCATTCAGTAATCAGTATGCTGACACAATCTGCTAGCCCCAGGAACCCTCTCATATTACAGTACATATTCCAGGAGATGAGCAGCACGGTTCTGGGGAGGTTGACCTCAGACTCACATTGAAGTCGAGGAGGGCGTCCATCTGGTTTTGTATGATAGGGATGGTCTTCAGTAGCTTCTCTGTATTCATGGTCCTCATCACCCCATCCACCCTGTTGAGATGAGTGTGTAGTGTTAGATAGGTGTTAGAAGCACAAAGGACAGAGAGGGAGGGAATCAGTGAGAATAGCCGCAGCCAGTCAATTTCTACTGCATGTTAACAAATCGTTCCCAGAGTTACAGAAATACCACTGTGATTACTTCATGGGATATAAAACAAATTTACGGAAAGAAATTATGACATTCTGTCATTAAAACTGACAGGAATCTTGTTCTCTTCTAAACTAAATATTTGAGCTGTCATAAATATTTTAAGTATTTTTTTACACCAGTGGGCAGCTCTGCAAGGAGAAAGTGTTTATTGTAAGAAATTGTTTGAGCCTTTAAAACTCCATTGACATACATTCGGGTAAGGAGAGGATCAGTCAAAAACAAACATACCACTTTCTTCTGTTGATTTGTTGGGAATTTCTTACCCTCGCTTTACTTTAGTGAAGTCAAAGGCAACCTGCCTGTACGACACAGCCTTCTCATTCAGATATCGACTGTACCTCCGGATAAATGTGGACATATCGTAGCCTGGGAGAGAGAGACCTGAGAAGTGATATAAATCTTACATTTGTCATGAAAACCTACATGAGAATCATGCTATATTCGTTCAAAGTTATATTGTATCTGCTTATAAGTATTTGTCACTGTAACAGTTAAGGATGAGTTTGAAAACAGCAGTTGAGAGCCAAGGCCTCATACTTTACCTTGTAAACCACTTTTGTCCAAAAAATTACTGAGGTTGAATAATGTGTTCCTTGAAGCCAAGTACTGGACAAAACGCTGTATCAAAGAAAAAGAGCGGTATCAATACATGTTCTTAATTTTCATTGATCTACAGAAATAGAATAGGACCGGAGCACCAGAGTAATTTCCAGATTTTTATTAAAATATTGATTATGATATAAACCTAGAAATTGCCTGGTTAGCAATTGATTGCCTTAATGTCTGTGAACTGAAAACTTCAACACTATAGCATTGCTGTTATAGAAATAATATATATTACAGACAATAATGTAATGAGTGGTGATTGTAGCCATAGACAGTATTGTAGTGAGTGGTGACTGTAAGCTCAGCTCACCTCATTGCCGTAGACCATGAGGTGGTGTGTGGCGATGAGCGACTTGAAGACCACCACCCAGCTCGTGCTGGTGGTCCTCTCAAACAGTGAGTCAGCCAGCTGGGGAATGTTCACGTTCATCTCATTGGTGCAATGGATCAGGTCTATGGACGAGACAGACAGAGAGACATGTTAGCGATAGTTCGATGTCTACGAAGACCATGGATAATTGATGTCAAGTAGTGACTTATGGCCACTGGCCAGTAGAGGTTAAAACAACTTCGGATACAAGGCATTTCCCCTATGGGGAGTTGAATTTTGGGGTCAAGTCAGTTAATAGTCTATGAAAGACAATGTTTTGAAATATGTGTAAACAGGGACACAGGCACTCCCCTTAACTGCAATCTCATTCAATTAGCTTTAATTAATGGTCTGGCTAATTGCCTAACTACACTCAAGACACTTAATTACTATGCTACGGTACTACAAGCTGCCTCTCTCTTTTCAGTTTTTTGGCATGGCAATTCCTCAAGAGGGTCTACTGAAGTTCAATAGATGAAAGCCTGATGAATAAGTCACCATCTCTAAATCAAACAATGTATTTTTGGCCAAATATCTTGGTAACTACTAGTTGCTCCTTCCGCCACCAGTTCTCTCCACTCGTCTATAGCCTCAGTTGGCCTAAAGCTCTACTCTGATGAGCCCCATGAACCAGTACAAGTCAGCTACTAGATTATACTCAAATTCCTTTCAAGGTTGTCTTCTCTTCACAACATACTATTTTTAAAGAAAAAAATGAATTCTCAACCGTCTGTGTAAGTTTGCTATTTGAGGCCTGGGTCTTTTCTTGGGCACACAGACATGACAATTGAAAACTACTACGTCAAGAATGCTTGATTGGACTTATTGGTCTCTGTTGCTTCCAATAATACACATATAGAAAATGTTCAACCATTTCAGTGTAATTCCTCTGCATACAGTAACTCATTACGTCATATTACTGAATGTGCTCATGTATCACGCCAACCCTAATATTGCACACCTGAATTAAAATCGATCAACCAGCTAATTATTAGAATCAATTGCGCTAAATTAGACGTGGAGGTTGCTGAAAACCTACAGGACGGTAGCTCTCCAGGAACAGGGTTGGAGAGCCCTGATGTAGAGAATGGGTGATGCCAGTCAAACCTGTGCTGTCTACCCATTCAGAGTCTGACTGAGTGATGAACAGATTGACAGTGTAATAACCAGGCCTGGCTTTCTGGCCTATATTTTCATGTTTTCAGGAGTCTAAGTAGGACAGCATAACCTTCCAGAGCAGCATTTAGCATGGCTGGCTGATTATCCAGGGAAGACTGGGAGAGGAGGGGGAGGGGAGGGGAGGGGGCAACTTTCACTCATCCTGTTAGATCATGCATGGCTCCTGTACCTCAGAGTACTGTAGGCCTAAACTCAACTAACAGCTGTGAAACAACAGGCTGGCTGAATCCATTCACAACTTTAGCATAGATAATAGTCCATGGGATTCAAATGTGATTAGAAGTGGACACTTTCAGATTAAGTGACCACCTTGGTTTCCAGTAGATCCAAAGGGCAATGTCTGCAAAAAGAATTTAGGAAAAGCAATACAATATGTAGCTATCCTACTACATGCTTCAGCTGGGGTCTGAACCAGCAACCTCCACGTCATTGTACCTGTGTGTCATGCAATATGCTCCTATAATCATGATGACAATGACATTTGAATGGTAACCTATTATGCATAACCTGCTTGCAGAAGAGATACAACATGCTTGAGATTGAATCACATATACTGAACAAAAATATAAACACAACATGTAAAGTGTTGGTCCCATGTTTCATGAGCTGAAATAAAAGATCCCATATGCACAAAAAGCTTATTTCGCTCAAATTCTGTGCACAAATTTGTTTACATCCCTGTTAGTGAGCATTTCTCCATTGCCAAGATAATCCATCCACCTGACAGGTGTGGCATATCAAGAAGCTGATTAAACAGCATGATCATTACACAGGTGCACCTTGTGGACAATAAAAGGCCACTAAAATGTGCAGTTTTGTAACACAACTCCAACGTCGTTTTAGAGAATTTGGCAGTACGTCCAACCGGCCTCACAACTACTTGTAACCACGCCAGCCCAGGACCTCCACATCCGGCTTCTTCACCTGCGGGATCGTCTGAGACCAGCCACCCAGACAGCTGATGAAACTGAGGAGTATTTCTGTCTGTAATAAAGCCTTTTTGTGAGGAAAAACTCATTCTGATTGGCTGGGCCTCGCTCCCCAGTGTGTGGGCCTGACTCCCGAGTGGGTGGGCCTATGCCCTCCCAGGCCCACCCATGGTTGCGCCCCTGCCCAGTCATGTGAAATCCATAGATTTGGGCCCAATTTATTTATTTCAATTGACTGATTTCCTTAAATGAACTGTAACTCAGTAAAATCATTGAAATTGTTGCGTTCATATTTTTGTTCAGTATATAGTTAAATTTATTATAGTGAGAGTAAATTAATGGACAGGTCATTCGTTGCATTCACTGTTACTTTTGCAGCGTCAGGTACTCTGCTTTGTGACTAGTATCGTTTCTCAGGATGGTCACAGATTAAAAGGTCTGATGCTGCCATCAAGGTTTATATATATATATATATATATATATATATATATATATAGCAGTCTGCTGGACGCGTGGTCTGATTAATCAGGCTGTAATACACAATTAATTGGTATATACAGCCTGAAACTAATGCCTGCAAAATTGTGTAAATGTTCCTTACAAGCCAGAATGTTGAATAAAATTACATTTAAACTTACTCTACCGGTTGTCTGTGTGGTTTTTCTTTCAGCTACTCGAAATTTGAGCCAAAGTATATACCAATTAATTGTGTATTACAGCCTGATTAATCAGACTACTGGAGTCCAGAGGAAACTCCTTGTGCCTGGCCCTGACTGCTAGAAATAGAGCTCTCTGTAACAAAGACCTCTTACTCCACTGGAAAGCAACCAGGCAGCTCTGCTACACAGACAGCCAAGCCATTCACAGACCAAGTGCAAACACAGCTTTAGCTAGCCTATAGTTGGCTTCTCGACTTCTGATTTTCTGACTGAGCAAATATTGCAATGAAAGGGCATCCTGACACATACTATTTCTCTTTCCTATTTCTGTGAGCAATTGCTACACTTTTGTAACTAGAGACCAGGTGAGTGAGACAGACCATACAATAGTTGGAAGTGACATATAGTGCCTTCAGAAAGTATTCACACACCTTGACTTTTCCTACATTTTGTTGTGTTAGACAGATTTAAAATGGATTAAATTGAGATTGTGTGTCACTGGCCTACACATAATACCCCATAATGTAATTTTAGAGTTTTTAGAAATGTTTACAAATTAATTAAAAATGAAAAGCTGATATGTCGAGTCAATACGTATTCAACCCCTTTGTTATCGCAAGCCTAAATAAGTTCAGGAGTGAAAATGTGCTTAACAAGTCACATAATAAATTGCATGGACTCACTCTGTGTGCAATAATAGTGTTTAACATGATTTTTGAATGACTACCTCATCTCTGTACCCCACACACAGAATTTTCTGTAAGGTCCCTCAGTCGAACAGTGAATTTCAAACAGATTCAACCACAAAGACCAGGGAGGTTTTCCAAGGCCTCGCAAAGAAGGGCACCTATTGGTAGATGGGTAAAACAAAAAAAGACATTGAATATCCCTTTGAGCATGGTGAAGTTATTAATTACACTTTGGAGGGTGTATCAATACACCCAGTCACTACAAAAATACTGGCGTCCTTCCTAACTCAGTTGCCGGACAGTAAGGAAACCGCTCAGGGATTTCACCATGAGGCCAATCGTGACTTTAAAACAGTTACAGAGTTTAATGCAGGGTTTCCCCAAACTTAATTGATGAATTAAGGTCACTGATTAGTAAGGAACTCCCCTCACCTGGTTGTCTATGTCGTAATTGAAAGGAAATAACAAAAACCAGACACTTGGCCCTCCATGGAATGAGTTTGACACCCCTGTGCTAAAGTAAAACAATGTGGCAAATAAATGTACTTGATGTCCTGAATACAAAGATTATGTTTGGGGCAAATCCAACAACATCACTGAGTACCACTCTTCATATTTTCAAGCATGGTGGTGGCTCCACCATGTTATGGGTATGCTTTCCATCGGCAAGGACTAGGGTTTTTTTTTTTTTAAGCACAGACAAAATCCTATAGGAAAACCTGGTTCAGTCTGGTTTCCAACAGACACTGGGAGAGAAACATTAACCTTTCAGCAGGCCAATAACCTAAAACACAGGCCAAATATACACTGGTGATGCTTACCAAGACGACATTGAATGTTCCTGACTGGCTTAGTTACAGTTTCGACTTAAATCTGCTTTAAAATCTATAGCAAGACATGAAAATGTCTGTCTAGCAATGATCAACAACTAACTTGACAGAGCTTGAAGAATTGTTTTAATAATAATGTGCAAGTATTGTACAATCCTGGTGTGCAAAGCTCTTAGAGACTTACCCAGATAGACTCACAGCTGTAATCGCTGCCAAAGGTGATTCTAACATGTATTGACTCAGAGTTGTGAATAGTTATGTAAATGAGATATTTATGTATTTCATTTTCAATAAATTTGCAAAATGTCATCATTATGGGGTATTATGTGTAGATAGGTGAGAAAAAAATATATTTAATCAATTTTGAATTCAGGCTGTCACACAACAAAATGTGGAATAAGTCAAGGGGTATGAATACTTTCAAAAGGCACTGTACATGTGTCGCCCCCAGCAGTGACACACCTAGTAGTGATGATGATGTAGGCTACACTTTGCATATGAGACTGAAAGCATTCTACTCTGAAAAATTTATAAGGTAGTTTCCACAGCTGAGTTGTTCAAATGTGGTTGTTATACCCTCTGTCTATGGTAAATAGATCAAAATAGGCCTACTGAATTTACTCCCCGGAACATATATTTTTCAGGGCATTTTTGTATAGACAAAACGTTAATGTACTGTATCATGGAGAACTGGTCAATAAATTGTAAGATACACTATGACTGATATTGACATGATAACTGTTTAGGCCAGGGAGGGCAGCCTAAAGCTATGCAGAATGAATGAAACCGCTTAACAGACGGCTAGAAAGCTAGCTAATGTGACAGTAATGTTGATGATGAGTAGGCCTACACTGAAATGGTCAGAAAATATCTGATATTACTGTTGTTAACGTCCAGTTAAATCATGTTATGAGCGTTCTCATTGTACGCGCTCGTCTTGCTGCAATGTATTCTTCATACATTTTGACAGGAGCTAGCAATAACATTAGCCTATCCATTCAGGCTTTGGGCCTTGTGTCACCATCGCCATAACGAGATGCAGAGCTCCGACTGGTTTCAATGAAGAATGACACATTATATCAGAAACTCTCGATAATTTCGATACTTACAATCCAAATGTTTCTTTTTCGGACCCATTATTTCATGTGTGGTGGCCTTGCATACGGTTTTCGACACAGCAGATCCAGTTACACTGTGTTGGGCTGCAGTTATCCTGTCAGTAATGCTCTGCCCCGACATCTTAGTTTATTGAAGCAACAAAGATTTTGAAAAATCACAATGTCTTTAAAAATTCCAAATTAATTGAATTATATAATATCCAGTCCACCACCTGTTTAAAAATAAAATAATGGAAGGGGAAAAACTGAAAGGACGAGGCAGAATAAAAATGATACAAATTTCAAACAACGTTTCCAAAGCTTGATTATTTCGGTCCAGTGTTGATCCGAATGACGCCTTTGATCAAATTGATTTCATAAATAAAAATGCGGTTGTACATTTGGTGGGCTGACTCATTCTCTGCCAGCTCTCATCCCGATCTCTCGCTCACTGGATCCCTGTGTGTCTCCTGTCTTCGTACCGCCACTCCTGCTGGGTTTAAAGGACTAGAAGCATTCAGGGAAATGGCGGGCCTGCTCTGTTCTCAGAAAGGTTAGGATGTATGACGTTTACACGGAGCATGCCGACCTGGAATCAGATTTTACATCTATAATTCATAACATTTTATTCTGTGCAGGTGTCTACAACTGATTGTGGTCTTGGTTGGAATGTAATATGCCAGACATTTACATTTACATTTTAGTCATTTAGCAGACGCTCTTATCCAGAGCGACTTACAGTTAGTGAGTGCATACATTTTTTTCATTCTGGCAATTAGGCCTAAAAACAATCTTCAGCAATAATTCTCAAGGTAAACTGCTAAACAGGCATATGCCCACTTTTTTTTTTTGCAACACATTTGTCCAAGTCCCACTCCCTGCAGGCTGCTATTGACGCGTTAGTGTTGATTAGGCCTAACACTGGCTGTGGCAGCCCATATTCTGATCTTTTTCCACTAATTGGTCTTTTGACCAATCACATCAGATCTTTTTCAGAGTAAATCTGATTGGTCAAAAGACCAATTAGTGAAAAAAATATCAGAATTGAGCTGCCTGTGTGAACGCAGCCTATGGAATCATCTTGGATGTTATTTGTCTGTGGTTCAATTCAGTGCTGTCTGTAGTTCAATTCAGTGCTAGGACTACCAATTCAGTGATTGGACTACCAAACACCACCGGGGGGCAGTATAGTGCCACAAAACTTTCAGCTAACACGATCACATCCCCATCCCACCCTGAAAAGTGAACATCCATCCATCTGTTCACCATAGACTAAAGAAAAAGGTTTGTACAGTTACTGTAAAAAAGCAGAATCACTCGAGGTATTAAGATTATGTCTATAGAAATAGTTTAGCGCCCTTTCGATAACTAAATGACTGTTCAAGTTATTGGATAACCTCAGGTTAGATTAATTTGAACTGTTTTGTAATCATTTTTCAATTACCGAGTAGCCCCAGAGTCCAAGTATTTTATTCTAATATGTCTCTGGCTCTGAGTAGGCCTATACATCACAACACTGGAAGGAAAAAGTTACATTTGTGTGTCAAGTGCCTTGACCCATGAGACATAGGCTTTAATGTACAGAACCTTACAGGGCAAGGGCTAATTTCTTCATTTTGTCTTGACAGTCCAATAGCCTATGTAAATTCTTAATTTATTATAATTACATCAGATAATTGCAGGTGCATCCATCATGTCTTCACTATGTCCTCTATTCTCACTGCGCTAGATATGTAGCCCATTATTCATTTTCCTTACTCTGCTTGCCTTTTATTTCTATTTTCAATGAAGACGGATGACTGATATTTGACTGAGTATTTATGAAACTCACCTTATTCTCTATATAAAGGGTTGTGTTACATACATAAACAATATGTCATCCTGTGGTTTTCCTCTTCCACATGGGAATATTACGTAGCAGCAGGGTTCTCACCCAACAAAAGACCCTTCTCACAGAGTCTTGCACACTTCCATTCATGGTCAAAGCCCAAGAGAGACCCAAAGCTCTGCTCACATTACCATAAAATATTGCACTCATGTAAGCATACACTACATATGGCTTTTATCCTAGTAGTTTAGTGTCATTTATATCCTAAAATTCAAGACCCAGCAGAATTAGGTTCTCCCAGTGTTTTCTTCTTTAGTCTCTTTTTATCAATGAGCAACCCTTGCTGTGTCTACTACATATATCAATTTATTTGTGTATATTGAATAAGAGAAACTCATGGGACAGGCTCATATAAATTGGTTTTAAACCCGTTTAACCCCTGTCCCATGGTAGAAGGATGTTATGGCTTTTTAGAAACATTACTCACTGAAGATCAAATGGCAGAACAGTCTTTGATGAGGGCTAGGTTTCCATGTTCTTGTTAAAGCTGGAGAGTTAAATTTCACTGAAACTCTCACCAGTTTTACGATGAACTCAGATTGTAGGATTTGCGTGTCTGTTGGGCCAGGCTGTTTTTAGAAGGTGAACTGATAGAGACTGTAATATCTGACAGAACTCACAACTCACCTAAGTGACCTTGGAGATTTCAGAACACTATAGAAACCACTTTCTCCTAAAGCCCAGAGGATGAACCTCAGGGTCATAGGGTAGGCTATGGTACAGTGGAAGAGCATGGCAGAATCTCACTAGGCAAGCTTTTCATTCCAGCATACAAATGAATTATGTTATTTGTATTATGCAATGTACAGTATATGCTGTAATAACCATAACATTGAAAATACGATTTCTAAATAATGAAGATAATCTCACCCTAAACACACACCTTAAAAAGTGGACTTAACAATATATGCTTCTTATTAAAAGTAATGAACAAATGGCCAAGTAGGGCATGTGTTAGATGGGAATGGTTTCACTATATGTATAGATGTAGGATCTTAATACACTACAAGTTTCATTTCCTGGAAAATTCTCAGCAACAAAAGTGATCAAATCCTACATCTGTTTACAGATATAGTAGCTTAATTTGATCCGTATACAGATGTAGGATCTTAATTTGATCACACTTTTGTTGCTAAGAATGTTCCTGCATGGCAGAAAATGCAAACTTCTAGTGTATTCAAGGTTTAGAAATGCTTCTAAAATTTGTAATTTCCACCTTAAAATGTCAGACTTGATTTGCCCTATAGAAAAATGTATCAACCCCTACAAACAATGCCAATTAATTATAATCCAAATAATAATTCACAATTCCTTTTGCTGCAAGATTTTTTTTTTTTGCTGTAGCAAACTGGCTCAAATGAAGATCCTACATCTGTACATTCTTTTGTACATCTGATCCTATTTGTTCTCAATGACAGTTGTGTTCTTGTGAGCGCTTCTTATTTGATTACAGCTATCCCTCATCATATGAACAGATGCTAATGACTAGCAGGCTCCCCTTGTCCGTTGGGTGCTGAAGGCTTTGTGACCAGCAGTGGCCTAGCTTCAATCTAGCCGCAAGCGTGACACTTGAGGGAGGCATGCTATCAATACACTGATGCTCTATTGGGGTGCATAAAGTATTATGGGGTGTTAACAAACAAACAAACAAACATATGACAAACACACATACACAAGGACAATAAACACATACAGAGGTATGATCTTAATTTGGTCACCCTGTTGCAGGAGATCTTTCCCACAATGCAGGAAATTTAAAACTTGTAGTGTATTTGTGGTTTAAAAAGGCTTCTGAAGTTTGTAATTTCCACTTTGACATTTGTTTCAGACTTGATTTTCCCTTACGAAAAAACGATCAACCCCTTACAAAATGTCCATTAATTATAATCCACCTAATAATGAGCATTTCCTGTTGCTGCAGGATTATTTTCCTGCTGTAGAAAACTGGGTCAATTTAAAATCCTATATCTCAAATCAAATCAAATCAAATGTTATTGGTTATATGCACGTGTTTAGCAGATGTTATTGCAGGTATAGTGAAATGCTTGTGTTTCTAGCTCCGACAGTGCAGTATATCTAACAAGTAATATCTAACAATTTCACAACATTTACCCAATACCCACAAATCTAAGTAAAGCAATGGAATTAAGAATATATAAATAAATATATGGACGAGCAATGTCAGAGCTGCATAGACTAAGATACAGTAGAATAGTATAGAATACAGTATATACATATGAGATGAGTAATGCAAGATATGTAAACATTATTGAAGTGACTAGTGTTCCATTTATTAAAGTGGCCAGTAATTTATAATCTATGTATATAGGCAGCAGCCTCTAATGTGCTAGTGAAGGCTATTTAACAGTCTGAAGGCCTTGAGATAGAAGCTGTTTTTCAGTCTCTCGGTCCCAGCTCTGATACACCTGTACTGACCTCGCCTTTTGGATGATAGCGGTGTAAACAGGCAGTGGCTTGGTTGGTTGTTGTCCTTGATGATCTTTTTAGCCTTCCTGTGACATCGGGAGGGCTGGTAGTTTGCCCCCGTTGATGCGTTGGGCAGACCGCACCACCCTCTGGGGAGCGCTGCAGTTGCGGGCAGTGCAGTTGCCGTACCAGGCGGAGATACAGCCCGACAGGATGCTCTCAATTGTGCATCAGTAAAAGTTTGTGAGGGTTTTAGGTGCCAAGCCAAATTTCTTCAGCCTCCAGAGGTTGAAGAGGCGCTGTTGCGCTGTTGCGCCTTCTTCACCACACTGTCTGTGTGGGTGGACCATTTTAAATCAAATCAAATTGTATTTGCCACATGTGCCGAATACAACAGGTGTAGACATTACAGTGAAATGCTTACTTACAAGCCCTTAACCAACAATGCTGTTGTTTAAGAAAATAAAAGTAAAAAATAGATAAGTAAAAAATAAAAGAGCAGCAGTAAAATTAAATAACAGTAGGGAGGCTATATACATGGGTACCGGTACAGTCAATGTGCGGGGGCACCGGTTAGTCGAGGTAATTGAGGTAATATGTACATGCGGGTAGAGTTAAAGTGACTATGCATAAATAATAAACAGAGTAGCAGCAGCGTAAAAGAGGGGGAATAGTTTGGGTACCCATGATTAGCTGTTCAGGAGTCTTATGGCTTGGGGGTAGAAGCTGTTAAGAAGCCTTTTGTACCTAGAGTTGGCGCTCCGGTATCGCTTGCCATGCGGTAGCAGAGAGAACAGTCTATGACTAGGGTGGCTGGAGTCTTTGAC